AACGAATAAGTTATCGCTCTCACAGATAACGATTGCTTAGCTCCACACAAATAATATTATCATTATAGTAGATTACGATTGCTTAGCACGACACAACTTAAAAGTAATCATTATCGTAGATTACGATTACTTAGGTACAACGACACAACTAACAATATGCGTTTAAAAATGATTTTTTTAAGACAACACTTCCGAAGAATCCAGTGTCTTGGATGTTACACATGTGCAATGAATTTCTAATTTTATTTCCAAATAAAAAAAAAATATATTTTTCAATTTTTTTAAGATATCAAAATTTTGTAAATTTTCAAAATTATTTATTCTGTGAACTGATTCATGCATTGTCTCTAATTTTATGCAATTGTGCAAAATTTCAGATCGATTGGACAGATCAAATTGTGTCATATGTGGATTATAAGATTTGTAGCAGACGAAATTATTATTACCACGTTTTTCTTAGTTTCACTTCGTGTCTGTCTGTCTGTCTGTCATCAAAAATTCAAACCTTAATTTAGAGCACTTCTGAAGATCCTAGAAACTTGAAATTTGGCATGCATGCTTATGCTGCCTAACAATTCAAGATTTGCTTATCAGAAGTATTAATAAAAAAAATTAAAATATATATATATACAAAAAACTAAAAATTCACGTTTAGGAATCGAGGTTTTTTGTCGAACACCCAGACTTGCCAACCCTGGAAATTGATTTGAATTACTAAAATTGCTAAACCAAAAAGTAGTAAATAAACATATATAAAAAAAATCTCCAAAAACCACGTTTTTCTGGTGTTTACAAACTAAAAACAATGAAATAAAACAAATAAAAAACTTTTAAAAACTACGTTTTCTTAACGGACAAAAAGAAAAAAACATTTACTCCTGCATAACATTTTACATAACTTTAATGTTATGTAAAAGTTAATGTTTTTCTTTTTTGTCCGTTAAGAAAACGTGGTTTTTAAAAATTTTTTATTTGTTTATTTTTAACTTTTTTGAAAATGGATTTTTTAAATCATTTATTCTGTCAATTGATTCATGCATTGCCTCCAACTTTAAGCATGTGTGCAAAATTTCAGATCGATTGGATAGGTAGAAGTGTGTCAAATATCGATAATAAGATTCGTAGCAGACAGACAGACAGACAGACATACAGACAAACAAGAAGTGAAGTTAAGGAGAAGTGTTGTAAAAAGTAATGGCTATCGTAGATTACGATTACTTAGCTCGACCCAACTAAAAAGTAATCACTATCGTCGATTACAATTACTTAGCACGATACAACTAAAATGTAATCGCTATCGTAGATTACGATTACTTAGCAAGACACAACCATAAAGTAATCATTCTCGTAGATTACGATTACCTAGCACGACACAACTAAAAAGTAATTAATATCGTAGATTACGATTACTTAGCACGACACAACTAATAATATGCGTTTAAAAATTTATTTTTAAAAACAACACTTCCAAAGAATCCAGTGTCTCCGATGTTACGCATGTACAATGAATTTCTAATTTTATTTTCATATATAAAAAAATAATTTTTAGTTTTTTAATATATATAAAATATATAAAAATTATTTATTCTGTCAATTGATTATTGTATTGTCTCCGACTTTATGCAAGCGTGCAAAATTTCAGATCGATTGGACAGGTATAAGTGTGTTAAATATCGATTATAAGATTTGTAGCAGACAGACAAACAAACAAACAAGAAGTGAAGTTAAAGGGAAGTGTTGTAAAAAGTAATCATTATCGTAGATTACGATTACTCAACACCACAAAACGAATATATAGCAAAATGCGTGATATGCGAGTAAGTCGGAACTAACTTATAAATTTACATGAAATTTCTGGAGAAATGCTTTCCTTTTAATTAAATTTTTGTCGTATTTTGTTGTTGATATGTTGGAAATCCTTACTATTTGCCTGTACTGTAGCATGGGTATCAACTGAAGGCTTCACGAGCACAACAAAAGAACAGAGGACCGAACAATTTGCTGATTGCGTGCGCTCTCTCATATTCTTCATTTATGTTAGTATCTATTATTATAATGAGTAGATGTCACTATTATAATTTTATCTATTAAGTTACCTGTTTCGCTTTTACAAACCGATTTTTCTCGAATTCGATCAGTTTTTGTTTAAAAACTTGATGTGATTGTAGTCTCTTCGTTTATCTGCAATTATCCAATACTCTTTAGATTCTCGATTATTTCCTCCATTCGTTGTCTATACCAAACATTCCTTGTTTCATTTTGCAGCGTAATCTTTTCATCTCGTTTTCTTGTAACTTTTGCCTCGTTTCTCCTCTGACATTACGCCGAGGCACGATATCGTGTTGCAAGAGCCTTGCGTCTCTCCAGGGCCGAGGGCGCCACTCTATAAACCCTCTCTTTTGAGAGGGTCGATCGATGAGAGGGCCAAGCCCCCATCGCCTCTCTTTACTTACCCCCTATTTCGTCACCCCCTCGCAGCTGCTCTCATCACAACAAAAACAAACTCCATCTGACGTCAAGAAACGCCCAAAACTAACGCTTGAGAATTTCTGCCAAAAGCATTCACGATGTACGTAAAATTAACGCGATGCTTAATGATTGAAGGAATTGTGTGTATTTGATATTGGTTTACAACTGGCAAGAGAAGCGGATAGGGATAAAGGATGTATTTTTTCTTTGTCTTGCACGGAAATGTTGAGATAACACGCGGTTATCAGCGTTCTCAAGACGGTCATAAACTAACCAAAATGCAATCTTATCTAATGCACGCATTTTATCATACTTCTGTTGGATGCTTCATGTATATGCTTGAAGCTTCGTTTTTACGAGATATTCTACTTATGCTCAGAAATGTTTTTATTACTTTATGAGGAAGTAATAGTAAGTAGCACATAATAACACTCGCGGTGTATAGGTATAAAGTAATATGATTGAGCCTTGGTAGACTGCATATCAACAGAATTCATGTCAAGTATATGTCAACCCATTTTAGTCAATTTAGGTTGAATTTCAAATAATTAGTGTCAAGTTTAGTTGCATAACAGATAATCCAAGTCAATTTAGACTGAATAGCGAAAAATGAATTAGATTCAAGAATTCGGTCAATTTTTTTTCTTCAAATAAAACAATATTGACGTGTTCTAAATTTCTAGAAGGAAAGACTTATATGTGGTTCAATATAAAGTTTATAGAATGTTTAGAAGGCTAACTCACCTTTTTATAGACGGAAACTGATGCTAATTAAGATAGAGCTTGTTATCTAGATATACTAGCACTGAACTTCCTTCACTGCACTGAAAAGATTAAAAACATTAAGATCAAGGATTCAACAAAATATGATTTATTCAACTCGATACTGCGATAAAATTTCGAAATTATTTTCGAAACATCTAAACACATTTTTGTCAAACACTTATTACGAAAGCCATTATTGCGCCTCGCATTCAGTTAAGACTCTGAGATTCTCATGTCTTTCAGTAAGAACGCTCCCATAACCTGAAGTTTCATCTTAATATAATAACATATGTGCGTTAATAATATATGAATTTAGTTTTGAACCGAAATCAAATTAAATGATTTTGTGTTTACAAAAAACCCGTTGAAATCTGGTTTGACATTCTACAAGTAACACTGGCTATATTTAATTTTTTTATGAAAGATAAAAGAATTGGATTATCCTGTAAGATCAGTCTATATAATTTTACTAGTAAGTTTAAACTGTATTTTTACTTGGCAAGTGGACCTTAAATTCTTTGCTTTTCAATGCACAAAATTACGAATGCATAATTTAATGCACCGAACTATGCAACATCTCACTCAATGTTCTCAATTATCTATTAATATTCTGATTCTCATGTAAATCAAAGCAATAAATAATAAATGCAGTGCACAGTTACAGTAGCACATCTCACTGCACAAGTGCTGCAGTGCGGTCACTTGAGCAGCAGTAATCACTGCCACAACTGCCGGCCACAGACTGCCGCCCAGGGCGCCGTGAACGCTACACTGCCGCGTCGATGTCCCAGCCATGCGCAGTAGCGTTCTGAACGCGCTACCCTGACCTCGCACTTCTGTTTGTACTATTTTTTACTATTTTATATTCTATTACTTAATATTACTTTTTGTATCATATTTAATGCTAGTGCTCAAACTATTACTTCATATTTCATTATTTATCATTACTCCTCTACTATTTAATATTATCGATTATTGAGCATTATACCATTCCTCAAAAACAGTTCCATTCGGATAAATCAGTTATTCGAATTTCGTTATAGGATAAGTTTAGCTTGAGGAGAAATAATGTACGAGAGAGTATTGGTTAAAGGTTATGAGGTATTTAAGTATTGGTGTTTTCAGCAGTTGAAGAAACTGTCGCAGTTTGTTTTAAATTTACTGTCCATTTATATATATAATATGGATAAATATTTTCTAGAGCAAAGAAAGTATCAGAAGTATTTATAGGTATTATGAAAGTATTCGTAGATATTATGAAAGTATTTGTAGATATTATGAAAGTATTCGTAGATATTCTCAAAGTATTTATAGAAATTATGAAAGTATTCGTAGATATTCTGAAAGCATTCGTAGATATTCTGAAAGTATTCGTAGATATTTTGAAAGTATTCGTAGATATTTTGAAAGTATTCGTAGATATTCTAAAAGAATTTGTAGATATTCTGAAAGGATTTTTAGATATTTTGGAAGTATTCGTAAATATTTTGAAAGGATTTGTAGATGTTCTGACAGTATTCGTAGGCATTCTGAAAGTATTTGTAGATATTATGTTCGGGGATGGTCATTACACTAAAGGTGAACTAAGTGAGCCACATATCACCTAACTGGCCTCGGGGACGGTCACTACACTAAAGGTGAACTATGTGAGCCACATATCACCTAACTGGTCTCGGGGACGGTCACTACACTAATGGTGAACTAAGTGAGCCACATATCACCTAACTGGCCTCGGGGACGGTCACTACACTAAAGGTGAACTATGTGAGCCACCCATCACCTAACTGGTCTCGGGCACGGTCACTACACTAAAGGTGAACTAAGTGAGCCACATATCACTGAAATGGATGATCAAGTTCTGGTTCATGATGTGCACTGGGTCAAGAACGACTGTGAGTTTCATGTTTTCTGCGTCGTAGTCGTAGTCGCCCGAGACGCTCATGTTGGAGGGCTTCTTCTGGATGCCGTAGACGGTGATGTCGCGCAGGTTCAGAGCACCAAGGTCCTCTCGGTTGTTGCGTTCTACCGTCAATGATAGAGTGTCCTGCGGGGAAATGCATTACTTTATTTAGAGTAGCATAAGGCTAAGTATTGTTATGCTTTTCATAATAAACTTTAGACAGAATTTGAGTCGGATAATTGTATCTGAGAGTTGAAGTTGCAGTGATTTGTCGGAGAGGGGTTACAAGTGTTGATACTAAAAGAGTTGGTATTAATCCTTTAGAATATTTAATTTGAATATAAGGTGAAGTGCGTGGAAGAGAAACAACTGGACTTTAAATTTTTGAATTCAGATACGCAGCAGCAAAAAACAATGGCCTACAGAAAGTTATCCAAACACAGTATTGAAAATAATATATATAATAAGTGCACTAGGTTAGAAATTACTGAGATTTTTCAAGATGCAAATCGTAAATGGTTGATGTTAACGTTACTCACTTCAACGAATGAGAAGACCACGAAGCTGTACAGGTTATCGGCGACGGTCGTCGCCCCATTCAGGTTATCCCAGAAGAGTTCCCCACTCGCAGTTCTGTCGAATCCCACAGCGACTAGCAGCCCCATGGGATTTCTCACGCTCAGGACGGTGGAGGTGGCAGGTTCCTGTAGGGGGAGTATAATTCCCCCACGTACGTGGAGGGGGATAGTGCTCAGAGGGGCGTCCACCAAATTCGTTGCACCAGGCCACTCCACAGGTCGACCCTGAGACGAAATATGTAAAGTTTATAAATTTTGAGACTGCAATGTTGGGCAACACTTGAAGCTGATACAAAGATAAACATCGCCTATCACAATATTTTTTAGTTTTGATCAAGATTTTGATGAGGATGTACTGGATCGAAAACAAAACACCTGACACGAAAACACGCATCTAAATATACATCTGTTACGAATCATACAACACTGAACATTACCACTCACCGTACGATAGTCGTACCAGGCATCAATGGGAAAGTAAATAGTACGATTCGTAGCGCCCTCCTCCAGTACCGGGGAAATGAGGAAGCTTGAACCCCACAGGAACTGGTCGTCAATGTCCAGGCAGTTGCGATCTCTGGGGAATCTAGGAGCAGATACTCGTAAATTTGACGATCTTGAGAGGCTCGAACTGTTCATCAAACAATCGCTGAAATTGGGACTAAATTTTCGATCAATGTCAGAATTTTTGTTGAGAAATATTGTCGAATGCTTTTCAATTCCGATTCTTAGTGAGACGTTCTCTAACTCAGGTTTGCGACTAACATTTAGAGGATTATGCTTGTTCTAATCAATTAAGTCGACGATTAGCTCTCTATGTGCAGTTACATTGCTGATAACTCGCTTCTTAATTGAAAACATGAGCTATATTGCAAATCCAATCGATTTTTTGTATCGGGCCAAAAAAAGATCATTGAAGAGGAAAGAATCTTATTTTTCCTAATTTATTCCAAAATATAGCGTTCCCTGTTGTACTTTTGAAAAATTGTGCCATTCTAGCTGACTGATTCCGACAAATTTCTGATATCTGCTTTACGGAAACACAATTCCGGCTTAATGTGGTTTCGGTATAAAAAATTAAGTTAGTTTTGCTGATAATAACTTCTAACTCTTCAAAGAACTCATATGCGGGATCCTAATTTCGAAAAATGGAGCTGAAAAAGATAAGCTTATCATTTAAGCGATTTAATACTGCATGTTAATGAATCCTGATAATGGGATTCTAATAAATCCTCTATCCTGATACTGCGTCTTAATGAATCAAGAGCCGTACCATCAACAATAGCCCACAGTCACTCACCGTCGGCTTTTCAAGCTAAGCACATCAATCACTGACGAGAACTCGGCCGCTACGTTTACTAAGGAAAGTTTTGATTCATCCAATCACTGATGTTTTTTCAAGTTAATCGCATTAATCACAGACGAGAATTAGACCGCTACGTGTACTTAAGAATGTTTTGATTGTACGGCCCCAGCAATATACTCGTAGATAAGACTACGTTGCGCAATAGCACTTATGAACCAACATCACCTGCTAAAATATTACACAATACAGTTTTTTTAATAGTGCGAGTGTGAAGTTTATGAATGAATTTACGTGAATTCAGGCGTCAACGTAAACCAATAATAGACACTATGGAGTTCATGCCTAAGACGGTACGTAAGATGTTGATGCGACATAAGATTTAGATAAGACTAAGAAGCTGAGAATAAGAACCGTACTCTTGAGCAAGGGAGCGCACGACTGTCTGTCCCTGCGTGGCGGCCCTGAAGAAGAGCGTGTAGAGGTGAGGCAGGAGGCGGTAGCGCTCCAGTAGCGCCGCCCGAGACCAGGAGGCCACCGTGTCGGGCCACATGCCAGGGTCCTGGACACAGTCACAATATTGATGATCTTTGCTATGTCATTTACAGTCATTTTTATTTAATTGATGATGTTTACTATGTCATTTACAGTCATTTTTATTTAATTGATGATGTTTACTATGTCATTTACAGTCATTTTTATTTAATTGATGATGTTTACTATGTCATTTACAGTCATTTTTATCCGTTTTTAGCGCATTTTCTCATTTATGGAACAAATGCACTATTGTGCTCGCCATGTCCGTTTGTCTGTCTGTCCATCCGTCCGTCCATCTGTCCGTGACCTCAAGTTTTCGTCAACGAGAACATGCGCTCTCTGTCACTCACTGCAGTGAGTACTGAGTTATATTTTTTTAATTTTTCGTGTCTTTATGTTTTTTGCTCGCTGTCAAACTTATGTGTGATGCGTGTTCTCGCAGTTCGGTTGAATCAGACGCGTTGTAGAGTAAAAATAATAATAATAATGGCATCATTGGATAAAAATGTGACGTAGCAGCAGTAGTAGACAGAAGTCGGATGCAACAGTTTTTGTTATTGAAACACCACTTATATTCGCGGACTATTGACGTTGACACAGGTTAAAGTTTCTTCACGAAATTTAAAGAATACATTAAATGGTTCGATTGAGTGAACTGACTCGCTATAGAATCCACAGTGTTCGACGGTGCTATCTGGCTGATTAATTAGCACCGATGAATATTATTATTTTTAATATTAGTATTATAGAACACTAGCATTAATGAATATTAGAAATAATGAATGTTAACATTAATGAATAGTTTATACATCGGGTTTTACTGACCTGGTCGACTTCACCCTTGCCGTTGTGGTTCCTGCTGAAGGGGTAGAAGGCCCCCAGCTGCATCCAGCGGGCGCAGAGCTCCTCCGTCGCGGTGCCGGTGAAGCCGCAGATGTCCGCCCCGATGTACGGGATGCCGAATAAGTTGAACTCAAGCATACCTGAGTGCAATCTTATTTAAATCAAAAGTAACGGCTCTAGCGGCTCAGTTACGTTATCATTACGATCCTTACTTAAATCAAACGACACGTCTTTGGCTGCTCAGTTTCGTTACCATTGCGTTCTATATTTAAATCAAAAGTAACGGCTCTAGCGGCTCAGCTACGTTACCATTACGTTCCTTATTTAATTAAATCAAAAGTAACGGCTTTGGGGGCTCAGTTCCGTTACCTTCACGTTTCTTATTTACATCAAACGCCACGGTGGCTCAGGTGTCAGTAATGCTATACCGCCACGATCGTTATTTGAACCAAACGTCACGGCACGCACGACTCGTATGGCGATTCGGAGTAATTTAAATGCTTAGCTCTTTCCGGCCGAACTATAACATGAATACAATTTCATTAATACAATTAATGCTTCATTTTTCATAACTTCAATCCTCATAATGCTTAAAAAATTCCTGAAATTAATGCATTAAACAAAATACGAGCTTGAACATGATTTGTCAATACAGCAAGGTTATCGAATACTAATTGAACACATGTAGTTTAAGAGTGAAATTGTGCACGTGTTACCTGAGAGTGGGTGGAGTCTGTGCCCAGCCGTAGAGGTTGTGCACGTCGTAGTGACGGTAGGGAGCTTCGTCAGCGGCGAGACACAGCGTCTTGTCCGACATGCGGTATGAAGGACCAACGTTGCCGGCCTCTGCGGGGCAACAGCGAAGTTTACATTTGGAAGCGCTGTTAAGGATACGTCGGCTAATTAAGTTGACATTTCAAAGCGGAGTTAAGGCTACGTCGGCTAATTAAGTTAACATTTCGAAGCGGAGTTAAGGATACGTCGGTTAATTAAGTTTAAAATTAGAGCAGATTTTTGGCTGTGTAGAGTCAAACAGGGCGGCATGACGCAAGATACCTGGAATTAGGGCTGCATACAAGTTGCTGGACATGCTAACATCGTAATTTCAAGTGAAAATTAACTGCTTGCGGCGACGGAAGGAAAAGACGATCTTGGCTTAAATCCTGCCACATTTGAGCTCTGATTCTTTAGCCTGCGCAGTGGTCTGGTATGCACAGAAATTTTGACGGTAACCGAGGTCGGCTTTGGGACTATGCTCACAAAATTTGGTCAAGATTACGTTTCGTTGCCTACATATTACGATAATCCCGACTCTTAAAACTAACATGGATTAAAAGCAAAGATTTGAAAAATGTTCTAAAAAATTTGTTTACTTTTTTCAAGCCCAGACAATTTTTTTTTATCATTTCATGGCATGAACGTATGATTTTGACAACTAAAATCTAACATACAACCACAGTCGAACTAGAAGAAAGTGAACTAGAAGAAAGTGATTTCTGCAAGTACAACTGAATTTAGTCAGTAAAACTGAACTGACTGGTGACGTAAGGTGGGTCGTCCCACTTAGACTGGGGACACTTGAGGTTCCAGGGTTGTGGCTGCCAGTCCGGCCAGTTCCAGGGCTGATCCATGTTAGTGTCAAACGCAGCAGGCTCATTCATATCCTGGTAAGGAAAAAATGTAGTAATGTACGAATCTTCCGTAATAAATTAACCTATTCCTATAATTTGGCCTTCGTAAAAGCTGGCATTCTTCCACGTCGTACCGTATGTTTGTAAACTTTTCATTCTGATTCAATCCAATCCCAATTGAACATCGCATTCTATTCCCTTCATGAACCATGATATCGCAGTCGCGCTAAAACTTTTTGAATTCCGATTAAAAACGCAATAAAATGGAATAATAAATTCCGATAATCTTAAGTTATTCACAATAAATTGTGTTCGATAATTTTTGCTAGTGATGGGTGTGAGACATACAATCCAGAGGCCGTCGAAGGGAATTTTCTGGTGGAAGAGGCGAATTTCTTTCGTCCACCATTCCTGGGTTGCCTGCTTGTGCCAGTTGGGGAACGCAGTGCGGTTCTCGGGCCAAACCTGGTCACGAAAAATACTCTTCAGCGTTAAGGTAATGAGATCAAGAAGCTATTGTAAATAGAAAGCACATTAAAAAGTCAGATACTGACCTACAAGAACGGAGAAAAACCAGACTGGTTACTATATAATTCTTGAGGAAATGAGGATTCTGGGCCTATCTTAATTGTCACTCAAGCTGTTATACATACACACTTAAAATCTTCAGATAATTAACGTTAAGAAGCGCCTATTCGCATTAAAACAAGCTGTTTGAAGCAGCTGCAAGAGAACAATAATCCGAAAGATTACATAACAATAATTAATAAAGATTATAACAATTATCCGAAAGCTGCAAGAGAACAATACACTCCGAATTAACGGATATAATAGATAAGAAACGTCGTACTCGGATCATACAAGCCTAATAATGCACCACGGTTAAAGATGTAATAAAAAATTACTAGAATAGCACAAAATGGCGTACATAGGCGAGCATCATGGAGCTTCCTCCGCCATTGTTGTAGTCCAGCGTCGCCTGGTCCGTGCCCTCCGGCCACTTGATGTAGGCGTCCGCGGCCAGCGCTCGAGCGTGAGTTGGGTACTCACTTTCCGAGAGCTGCAAAGTTATTATTTATTTAGTGTGGATTTCATTCGATAACTACGTGGCGATTTGTGTAGCATTTTTCGAATTGAATCTTGTATTATTTAGCCTAATTTCATTTGCTAACATCATCGCAATTCCAGTAGTGTTTTGCAAATTGGTCTCTAAATATATGACTTTCCTTTACATAAATAACATTGGGTGTGATGATGTTGATTGTGATTTATATCGTCAACACGTATGCCGCTCCTTTAAACCAATTGTTTCATAATAATTTAATAAAAGTAGGAAAGTTACACGTATATGTTTCTCTTAACCGATCAAACAGTTTTAGTTTGCATGATTGCATTTGTCAAGTACTTTAGAAACATCTTGAATCACAGAGCAGAAAAGCAACCAAATAATAGTTCCATTTGTACGTAAAATCAACAAGCTCACTGTAACTGCGATACAATTTACGCGCCTCCACATTGATGGCCGGGTCCAGAATGATTATGAAGCGATGCCCCGACGCGTGAAGCTCCTCAGCATAGGCCCCCAGCCCACCGAACTTCTCTTCGTCGAGAGTGAAGTCCTTTTGCCGATCCATGTGATCGATGTCCGCGTATTGAACATCCTCAAAAAATAACAAAAACTTATTAAATGGAACGCAACAAAGATTTCAGCCATTAAAGTCCGTATAAAAACAATACGTTAATGAAAACAGACGTGCATTCTGGAAATAAATTGTTTTTTATTCGGAGAAAAACGAAGTAGAAAATAACATGTAGAATTTTTGAGACAGAAAAGTCCTCTCTTAATCCCTAACGGTTAGCCAGTCTTGGCGCTCCATAAATTTGGACTGGAATTTCTAATTATAGCGTTATTAGTTTTTAGTTAGTTATTACCTAAAATTGCCTAATTATTCGCGCACTGGAAGACATCACAAAAAATAATTATTTTACTGTTGAAAATTTGTATAGAGGATATCCATTAATCTGATATCGTTACAATTCTGCTGGCACTTAATTTAACTCACAATGGGTATGTCCAGTTGCAGCGTCCTGTTCATAGCGTCCTTCATGTGCTGCAGGTCCTCGTAGCCGTACCTGAGGGGGGCAAATATTTCTACATTTGTTTGGTGAATGTAGGTAGCTTTCTTTATTTTTTTAATAGAAAGTACGAATAAAATTAACATTTGGCCTGCAAATGCGCACAAATAACCTACGTAAAATTCAGCACGTGAAATTATGAACCTGTAAAATCTTTGTAAAAAATTTCGATCAAGGGAAGATTTTTCACTGAATGAGTATTTCTTGCTTTAAAATGGCTATATTATGATAAAAAAATGCTGGAGGTTCTAGTTTTAAGTGAGTATAGTTTGTAACCTGGAGATAAGATCTATATTGAAAAAGAATCCGATAAGATAGAGGTTAGAGATAGAGGATAAAAGGAGGTAGATCGAGATAAGGAGTAAGAGTATGGAGAAGAGGAAAAGATAAAGGTTAGATAAGATCTAGATAAAATAATGAAGGTTAGATAAGATAAGAAAGGTTACATAAAATATAACCTGGAGAGCTGGAAACCCAAAGCCCAGTAAGGAGGCATGACAGGACGGCCGATCAGAGCTGTGTACTGCGAGGTTACCTGTGGACAGACATTAAAAAAATTTGCAAGAAATTAAGAAGATTTATATGTAAATTATGTAAGAATTGCTGAAAAGTATAAATTATTCTAGCACAAAAATCATAAAAAATAAATTATACATTAAATAAATTATTAAATTAAATCATAAATTATAATTATTAAATTAAATCATAAATTATACTGGGAAAAATTATAAAATCAATCTTTACAATAATAAATTATTTTAAATATTCCGGAATTAGTTAAGAGTCGTTCCATAAGTATCGTAAATCCATTACGAGGCACTAAATCGAATTTGACAAAGATACAAAAACGCATCAACAAGCACTACTCTACTGAATATCTGAAATCTGACATGAATACATTGAAATTCAATGCTAAAAAACACTCCAGAACATTTAAAGCTGTCAAATATTGAGAGTAGTTTACATCGCCACATAAATGCTACGGGAAGTACATAGGTCAAAATACATCTGGGGCTCCAGCAGATATTTACAATTGTTATAAAGAACAAACTACGGTACCACTGTAATACTATATGTTATGAGTTATTGTTAACAAATTTGTAATTTATTATTGTTATAAGGAACCAACTAGGGAGACACTCACAGTCTCAGGTTCAGGTCCGAGAACGAAGAAAAAGTCTAAGATGCCTCCGATAGTTCGGTACGTCAGGGAGGGGTAGTCGAGGAACTGGTAGTCTGTTGGAGATATCTTTTATACCTAAAGATACGTTTAAATAAGATCATATAAATATAATTAGAATCAGAACTAAACAATTTGATGTAGGAATAGTCATTGACAAACAGGCTAATTTTATTTCAGAGGTTCGCGAGGAAATTGTATCAATGTATAAAATGATTACATAACTTACAAATTACATCCGATCAGCAATTGATAATATGACACTAACTAATAATGCTGAAATTAATAATCATAAATGCCGTCTTAAAGAATAGTGACGATCTCCGAAAAAAGGATGGGTCTAATTGTCCATATAGTGACACACTTTTTGTATGTAGCGCTGATAAGCCCTTCTTCCAAGTCAAACTGAGTCAGGATGCCCCACACAAGCGCAAAAAGTGGGTCGCTACTTGGACAAATTCCCACTAATATCTCTGAGTCACCGACATGTCACCGACCCATGGCGTTGCTGTTGAGCAGCAGCACGCCGTGCGCGCGGCCGTCGTTCTCGACGCACGAGTAGTACGGGTGCGTGCCGTACAGGTTCACTTTCAGCTGAAGGTGAAGATTACTTCTTATCATTACTTCTTATCATTACTTCTTATCATTACTTCTATAATAAGAAATTTAGTGAAAATCTAATCTATCAAACCTAACTTGAAAACCTATCTCTCGTCTCAAAAAAAAAAAAAATTAAATGACATTCCGAAGATATATTTACTCTTGACAAAAATAAATCTAAATTTTATCATCAAAAATCATACGTGTGATGCTAATCTATTTAGAATTTTAGATAATAAGATCATCAATTCATATGAACTTCATTTTGATTCTTTATGAAGCTTTACCTCCTAACTTTATTCATTACATGAGTTATTCAGCAGTGTATCATCAAAACACGTAGACAGCGTGTTAGTTTTCCTAATTTTTAGTTCTTTAAAGCTACCGTCCTAGTCTCCATACGACTCACGTGCACTTGCAATCCATAAAAATTAAATTTAGATTCATTATGCTACTTTAATTAGTAAGTAATTGTGAGTATTCATTTTACATTATGAGCAGCGATCAAATAACTATACTCGAGTTAATTTCTTTTACAGTCTTCGATTCCACCCTCCTCTTCCCTTTGGGACTCACGTCGCATTATTTGCAGTGTACCAACAAGTATACAGGATTTAATTATCCTATATCGTATATTTTTGTTCTATCCTCTTCTCTTGTAACTCACGTCCACTTCAGGCCACTGGTCGCGAGCAAAGAGACTCCAGACGGTGCCGTCCATCTGTGTCCTGAAGGAGGGGTGGGTGTTCTCCCCCATACCGTAGACGTTCTTGCTGGGCAGCAGCGTCGTCACGCTCAGGAACTGGTCTTCTAGAATCAAACCACCGAGACTCGTGTCGAAACTGCCGACAAATTGTGAAAAAAAGTATTATATAAATCCACTATATCATTAAATAAACGAAATAATGACATCATTTCTTCAAAAACTACCAAAGTACGGAATGTGTGATTGGATAAATCAGGGAAATATGTCACTTATTTACAATCGCACGAGCCAATTGAGACTGCTACATCGCAGGTCATATTTTTTCTGGACTGTCATCATGGCGGAATTTAATACTAAATTCACTAGAATTTTTTTTTAAATGGCGGAATTTAATTCTCAATTCACCATACAATTTTTGGTTTTGGTTTTTTTTTTTTTTTTTTTTTAAATAAGGCCTCCCACACTCACCATTCCAACAAAAATGAATTAATTTTATTAATTAAAAACAGGGAATGGTTTCATGTTTTTTGGTTTGAACATGAATATTTTCTTCTCACATGACGGTGCCAGTGGCCCTCCTGACGACGGTGAAGGAGAACACGTCACCGGGGACCTCCGACGTCAGTTTGAGCTCATACAGCGGCGACGAAGCTGAGCTCGACGGCAGGTTCAGGACGATGGGCACCTCGAAGCGTGACTCGCTCGCGTCGTACAGCTGAAGTAAATAGGGAAGATAAATCCTTATTAATAAATTATAATTTTTTAAGCACTAAAAATATATCGCCAATATTATGCTCAATTAAATTACGAGAGATATATAAGGGACTTTTTACCGCACTGAATTATCGATGAATTCTGTGAGGAAAAGTATATACAGCGGTATAATTATGTAACGAATTCAAGGCGAAAAATGATAGAATTTCGTCACATTAACAAACAGCGAATGTCTGTCTCGTGGCTTGAATTAATAACTTATTTTACCTGTTTATTAATAACTTATTTTACCTGTTTTATCAGATAAAATGAGCAACAGGGAACTAAGGCCAACTGATAAAAAGAAAAACCTGTACGGTAATTTGCAGTATTGTGGTTACAAAATGTTCACCTTGACTCTAAGCAGATGGTCTGCTAGTATGAAGACCTCAAAAGTGACATTAACGATGGGGTCTTGGAAGACAGGGTCCCCCAACTTGGACAAGGGGACCTTGAACCCCGTCTCTGTAGGAACCTTGGCACCCGCGATGACGTAACCCAAGGCTGAGGGCGGGGGCAGTGAGCAGGTTATCTGCCGAAAATAAAAATTATGTTCACAATGTTTAAATTTATTTAGGATTGGGAACTTTGCATGGAATTTTTATTATATGTTCAATCGGTGATAGATTGAGCATTTATAACGTCTTATGAAGAGAAAGATCAGTTTTTAAAATATAATTTTCAATACCATATTTTTCACATGGCTACATCACTCACCCGAGTGGCCTAAGGAAAATAATGGCTACAAATGAACACAAATTAAGGTTGACGTCTGAATTCCGATATTGCATCGATGTACGATATTGCATTGCATCGTTTCAAACGAGGCGATTTTTGGTGACGAATCGAACAATTTTGATATTGCATCGATATCAAACGAATTCACGTGCGAAGCCCAGAATATTTATGTGAGGGTTGAAATATTTTAAAATCATAGCCTATCCTCAGTTAGACATAAAACTCGTGCCAGATTCTGAAGATTATTGCTGAAGATAATAATATAGATTGTTGGCGACTCACGTTAGCTTGGTCGTTCCAGACACAGTGCCGCGCCGCACACTCAGCGCTTGTGGCCACGGGCGTCGACCCTGCAGCGCCTTCGCAAAATTCGAAATATAATTTTTATTAATGAAAATTTCAACAATTAGTAAAACAAATGATAACAAAAAAATGAGCTCACACAACAAGAAGCTACAAATTAAGCATATTAAATGTCATATTTCATAGGAGATATAAAAATATCTGATTATCAAAATTGCAATTAAGCAAAACCACTCAAATAAACGTAAAACCTAACACATACCTGAACTTAAAATAAAAATGCCACTAATAGACACCAAACATAATCTTTCAATGTGTGAACATTTCATCTTGCCAAACCTACCTGCATAAGAAATAGGGCATGGCAGGAGCAGGTCGCTGAGGTCGGTGCTCCAGGAAAGCTCAAAATTCGAGTCCAGAGGAAGCTGGAGGTCATACACTCTCAGCACCTGGGTTGTGAATAAATTGAATTGCTATGATTTGCAAGTTGCTGACCGAAATCGTGTGCATCTGATAGATTGCAGAACCTGGTATTACGAGAGAAATTATTCAGAAGCCATTTTAACATCAGTTCTAGAGAGGTTCGAACGACAAGTTTTTAGATCTCGCGAGAAAAGCCTAGATCATAACAAGAATAAGTCTATTTATCAACGCGACACTATTTTTTTATATTATATTGTGACTATTCAACTTTCTGAATCGCCCAATACCATATTGCTAAGTTCGAGTTCTAAGTAGAGTAAAGGCTCAACCCATTCGCTGAACACAATGTGAACGATAACAAAATAAATCATTGCATAATATTTTTATTGACGAACTTAAAATTAGACGAGAATCAAAAGTTGTCACTAGGTCAATGATTCATCTACTTTGCTAGTCCGTTAGCACGGGACGATATTCGAAATTGATGCAATTTGGTAGCAAATATTTTTCCAACAATTATGGCCCTTGAGCTGGACTGTCGACTGACTCAGTGATGCCTAATTAAGTCCACGCGGTCCTTTATATTATATTATTACCAATTATATATAAAATAATAACTCAATATCATTACTTAATTATATTTTCAAATTTAATTTAACTCAACATTAACCTAAAATATTGACATGGTTCAGAATATTCTTAATTAAAACCGGGAAAAATGATAACCAAGGGAGCCTAAAGTTAAGCCTTCATCTTCTGACGGGAACGCTCGTTATCATAATATACGAAAATGCTTGAAAACAGTCAACAATAATCAAAAGAGTTGAAGCGATGTATTCCTTTACGTTATAGACGTCATCGCATAGTGCCAGGAATACAGGTTTGTAAACAGTCAATACATGAGTTTTGATAAGAGTTAAACATAAACTCCCTGACATTATAGACGTCATCGTAGTGCCAGTCGCCGGTGGTGACGCGTTGACCGTCCAGCAGGAGCTGACGGGGTCTGGAGGCCACGTAGAACACGGTCACGTCTGACAGTTTGAGGCCCTCGGTGAGGGAGGGAGGCCCCGACGTCACAACTGTCCACCGTAGGGCGTTCCGAGCCTGTTATCAGTGATAGATGTTCACTTAAAAATTCTGAATAAATCAGTAAATAGTATATTGTTCACTTTAATAATCAGTAAGTAATTCACTTTACTGTTGAAGAATTAATAAGTAATGAAGCGTACTGACCAGTAGAGTAGGCTTGTTTGGCTTGCATGTGATGGCGGTGACGGTTTCAGTGATTATAGTTGCCAATAGAATCACTTATAATACGTTATATGACATCAAGAGAATCACTTCTAATGCGCTACACGACCCAATAGAATCACTTCTAATACGTTATATGGCAACAATAGAATCACTTCTAATACGCTACACGACACCAATAGAATCACTTATAATACGCTACATGACACCAATAGAATCACTTATAATACGTTACACGACACCAATAGAATCACTTATAATACGCTACATGACACCAATAGAATCACTTATAATACGTTACACGACACCAATAGAATCACTTATAATACGCTACATGACACCAATAGAATCACTTATAATACGTTACACGACACCAATAGAATCACTTATAATACGCTACATGACACCAATAGAATCGCTTTTAATACATTACACAAGACACCAATAAAGACACTTATAATTCATCAGGCAATACCTCGTCGTAGGAAAAGTTGGCATAGAAATAGTTCCCGGAGCCGACAGAGTCTGCAAACAGAAAGGCCACAATAAAGTAAACATTATATATATTTTGCAATAGATCAAACGCTTTTAGATTTGCCACATTGTATTTTGTGCTACACTCAAGTGATTAACGATCCTAATTATCAAACTACGAATTGTTCACTATTTCTTACGACTTTACGAGTCACATAAAATAATTAGTGATGAAACTAATTTACTGAACAGCTGAAGCCGGCATCTCTCACCCAGAGAGTCGCCGTCGTCCCAGAAGAGGTCACCAGTAGCGGTGCCATCATTGCCAGGTGCCACGATGAGTCCCATTGGGTTCTTCCTGCGATTTGAAAAATAATTTAACAATAAACGTTGCATTATTTCGCAATGTAGCTGCGCAGTTCTGCAGGCATTTGTGTAAACCAGTGATCCGCTGATTACTTGCGAACTGGGTCGGATTTAGTACGGGTTTTCCTTTTGTAACCGGACGGCGTAGCAGAGTGGCTGTCCCGTTCTGTCGTCGTCAGAGTTGGTGTTTGCGGTTTTGAGTGGCGGGTTTTGAGGCTATGGACTGAGAGTCTCCCTTTACACTGCCTATGGTTTCGGATGCCTATATAGTGCTCGTGTGAAACAGTCGTCTTCGAATTGGTTAACCGAAAATGTCTAAACCTATTCTTTAATCGTGTTTAGGTTGTCTTAGTGAGTTTTGCTCATTTCGTGTATGGAATTATTACAGGTGGTGAGGGTACTAAACTTGGTATCTATCTTCTGGTGAAGCAATTGTTGAAACACAGCGGGGAAGATAACAATCGACACCAGCGGCGCTTTATATTTTTTGGTGACCGGCAGCGCCTGTGGAGTACCACACGTTAGAACCCTACCTGCATCTTCTTTTGGAGAGTTCAGACGCCAATGAAGCGATCTTCTTGTAAATGATGTACCACAAATCATCGGCAGCAGAAATTATTATTAAATAAAACCCAGGATATTTGAAACTGGTGCTCCTAAGCCGCGTATTTGGAAATTCCGAGGAGGCATACAAGTGATCTGAGTTCCAGCATCCATCAGAGAGCTTGGAGACCGGCAAGGTGTCACAGCGGTCACGACTGCCAATTCATGGAGTTAGGCTGATTTTGTTTGGATGTGTGGGCCCTCTGAATCCTCATCAGGGTGGTTCCTTGTTATTTTGGGAGGGTTCTAACTTATATATGTGCCTTGTAGAGTAGATTGGGTATATGGGTCCTGTTATATATTTAGGTTTATTTTAGTTTCACTGGGTTTTATAACCGCGTAAGAGTGGAAACTTGCGTAATAAAAATTCAATAACCAGTTTTAGAAATTCCTTTGTTATTGTACCTAATTTCTAAAGTTTTTTCACTATCGAGTCTACAATAGACGGCGATAGCCTGTAGATGTTGATAACTCTCCCGCAACAGCAATATCACTAAATTAAAAAAATTGAATTTTACACGAGCGAGCAAAAAAATGATAACAAACCAGAGTCACAAAATTCGTTTCCAATAATAACGAGTTTTTAGTATTTGGTATTTACAGTTGAGGCTAGGCTTCAAAGATCCTATATATGATGTATAGCTATAGTTTCCAATTATATTCTACTTCAAGGGGTACAAGTGTACTTATAGAAGTACACTTGTACACTTGTACACTTATAGAAGTACACTTGTACTTATAATGCAATTTTTTAGTGAAGACACCGACATGTATGCATTTTACCTTGCATGAATCCTCCTTAGCTGTGACGTGATTCTCTTCGGAATGTCATTAAAATGATCAATCAGCCCTGCGGTACAATATATTCAAACCAAAAACTCAAACTTTCCAACAGTGGTGCGTATAATTACGCATTGAAATAATTAATTTCAATGATAAACGGAAAGTTTGCATGACATTTTATTTTTTCCATAAATTTGATTTGAAGTGAGAATGCAAATCTAATCCACCATCATTGCTGCAGTTCTTGGAGATTCTTAGTACAAATTCATATATTAAAATCTATTGGATTTATTACTAACGAAGGAGTACAAAATGTCAGATCGAAAGTCCTTAATATTAAAATTATACAAAAAATCAAGCCCCTCATGAATAAAACTATGTAAAATCCAGTTAACAACGATTATACGAAATTTTTGTCATCACCTATGGAACTCGATCCTCTGCAATCAACTCGCATTTAATATTCCTTTAAATTATCATGCAATGATAAACTGAATCTCAAGTTCAAAATCACAAGGTAATGAGGAAATTTACACATTTGGTTTGCATTCATGAACATACCAGTAGGTGTTGCTCGAACACACTTTCTGCACCTTCCTTCATATTTCATTTTTGTCTGTCGACGTTGAGGAAACTTATTTAACTGCACAAATTGTATTAATTTGTACCTTTCATCATCTTTCACCATCGGCACGGACCTGGACATGAGGGTGTTGAGGGCAGGCCGCTGGGTAGGCACGATGGCTCCCCCGTTGAGGAACACCGGTACCTCCCCGTCCAGGGGGGCCGACACGTTGCGGTAGCGAGCAACTTCGGTCCACAGTCTCCCCTATGAACGATTGTGTTATAGTGCTTTATTTAACGTATTTATTTAACGACGGCGTTAAATTTATTTAACGCAATCGTTATTTAACGGTAATTTATTTAAAGTTTGCGTCAAATAATAATAAAATCTTTTGAACATCACACAGGTTGTTTTTTAAGTTAAGTTATTTATTTCTAAGTTGAGAACAAACATAGATAATTAAAGTGATTGTGTGTAAAACAATCAAAGATATGTTGTTCTCAATAAAGTCTCAAATAGTGTAAGATGTCCGGTGTCATGTCCATCTTTATAACTTATGGTTGTTTCACGCATAATTCGAATTGAAAAAGTACGTAATACATATTCTAATGTAGTATAGTTTAAAGTTACCCATCAAACTTACGTCGCTAATGGAGAACCAACGCCCGGCTGACGGAAAATAAACTTCCACTTGCGATACCCCCTGAGGTAGAAAATAATTGTTTTTATACGTAATTGGGAAAGCTGAATCTTCAGTAGCTTGTTTATTCCAGGAAATTTAGTAGTTTAGTACCTTTAGTAATTACTAAATTACCTTAAATTTGAGTAAATTGAGCTGGTTTAAGTTGGTTATACTCATATAGCTAAAAAATTGGGAAGTTAATGTAAAGTCATTATAATCCTAACGTTATTGGGGATTCATGGATTAACTTGAAATTGAAGAAAAGAAGCGTATATTGTTAACTTTCTTTAGAAACTTAGAATTATCGTTCGATAGGGAATAAGAAATTTCATTTCTTCATCAACTTTAGCCTGAAATCATGCAGTTCTTTTATTCAGTATTGTGAATTAACTGAATTACGAGTAGTATCCTGCATTTATATTCCTATCATGATTCAAAACATTTATCCTGATTTACTCATAAAATCTGTAAATAAAAACCAAGGAACTTTAAATACCAATTAATAGTGAAAGAGAACGGAATTGAAAATAAAATATAATCGTGGAATTTGGCCGAAAAAAGACCATCTGTCAACCCTGGATTTCATACCATAGTTACGGTCAGTATTTTAAAATTATCATTAAATATTATTACTATTATTATTAAAAGTGCTGCTCCTGACCGGTCGCAGAGCGGGGCAGATCATGACGGCGCCGCCCCACAGGAACTGCGTCGAGACAGAGCGCGCGTTCCGGTCCTGAGGAAACCTGGTGTAGATAATGGTTATAATTTATAGAACAAAAAACATTTTTAGTTACTCGGTAATTGAAGAAAATCTGATCAAAGATTATATTATGACTATTACTGAATTATGCTATATGGAATACAAATTTTTTTAGCGGTCGTAGGAATAAAAAAATGCGTCTGTGAAACCGACTGCTTTGGTTTTGGTAACAAATCGTGGAAACTCAACGGCCCGAATAGCAACTCAAAGAAGGGCTAGCGATGAGACAAAAGCTCACCGGAATTCGTGAAAAACCAATTAACGACCAAAGAATATTTTAGGTACTGGATTACGACTCACTGGGTCTCAAAAGACCACAAATCACTGACAGGAAAACCAGAGGCCATGACTCACTGTTAGGAAAACCGGAGGCCACGAATCACTGTCAGGGAAACCAGAGGCCATGACTCACTGTNGGATAACGACTCACTGGAAGGCCAAGGAGCGGATGACAGCCTCGCCCCGCGTCGCCGCCCTGTGGTGCAGCGTGTAGAGATGCGGCAGAAGCAAGAAGCGCTGACGCAGCGATGCTCGCGCAGCAGCGGCCACGGTAGGCCACAGGCTTGGGTCCTGCGAACAACCGGGCAATTCGTTATAAAAAATATAACTCAGTACTCACTGCAGTGAGTGACAGGGAGCGCATTTTCTCATCGACGAAAACTTGAAGTCACGGACGGACCGACGGACAGACAGACGGACGGACATGACCAGCACAATAGTGCCTTTTTTCCATAAATGAGAAAATGCGATAAAAGGAGGGTTTGCTGCCATAAAAGCCCCCCTTTGTTGATATAAAGTCACCGCGCCTGTCGTTTCAAAACCGCATTGATTGTTGTTATATAAACTAACGCGCTCGTTTATTCACAAAATTGTGTTAGTTGTTATATGAAACATTACGGTGTTGTCATGAAAATAATCACGTTAGTTTTCATAAAGCACCGCGCTTGTTAAATAATACATGAGAGCAGTTCAACTATCTAAAAGTACCCGCACACTCAGGAGCAGTTTATCGTGTGTGCAACTAATTCTGGATTTGAAAGACTGGTCACAAGGTTTCTCACTTCATACTTAATACACTTCATTCATTATTTACAAGCATGATATGATACGAGCATGGAATGAAAGTTGATCAATAATAAGGCTGAAATTAGAAAGATTATTAAGAATTTTGAATGACTAACAATTTCAGCAAAAGAACAGATATGGCTTATGGGTGATGGGTCAAAATAAGTTACCTGAGGAGGGTATTCCCTGCCGTTGTGGTTCCTGCTGAAGGTATAAAAGGCCCCCAGCTGCACCCAGCGAGCGCAGAGCTCCTCCGACGCTTGGCCGGAGTAGCCGCAGATGTCCGCGCCCACGTACGGGATGCCGAATAAATTGAACTCAAGCAAACCTGCACACATTAACATGATTGAATGTGTCACATGGATGTGCCAAGACAATACTGTTGTTATTTAGAATTTAAAGGTAACATTATTTAGAACATTAAGGTAATGTTGTGCCCTTCTAACGATGACACCTCTTTTTAGCAGGCCTGTAGCTACAAATAGCATGGACGACGTTTAACGAATCCGTAGTCAAAGGGTCGACCTGTTGTCTATTACTCTACTCACCAGGTTACTATATAAGAATACCATTGAATCGTGACTCGGTCTTCAGATACGAATAACATTAACGAATTTGTTGCTTAATATATCCGTAGTCAGAGAGTCGACCTTTAGTCAACCTACGGTTCCTCTAGTTACTCGGTCTTCAGATATAAGTAGCGTTGACTCGTTATCCGGTCTTTAAGGTACGGATACATTAACATACTTTAACATAATTTAAACATAAATTTATCAGTTAACGTATCCGGAGACGAGAGACTCACCCACAACGGAGGCCGCAAGGTGGGACCAGGAGGCCTGAGTGTCACCCAGCCAGTGGCCCGCCCAGCGGCCGCTGCTGGGGTATGTAGACCTCGACACCACCACACCACGACGCGACGTGGCCTTCTCCAGCCCCCTGATCACAACGTATGTTTTATTTTTTTTATATCTATTAACTTCATTTCTATGTCTATTAAGCATTCATTTTATGCGCTAAGAAGCATTTTTTTAATCTATGTCATTTTTGACGCCAGCAGTATAATGCCTGCAGACAGCACATAAAAAAGACACAATACAATAAATGGTTCCACCTGCTAAGAAGCGATATTATACAGCGTGATGTTCTTGCTATACACTAAAAAATGAACGATGCATTTATGATTATTTGATAAGGCGACAGGACTCTAGCTTATTCTCAGATATCAAAATTACAACTAGCAAAAGTAACATTTTTTCGGGTTAAGGAAACGCCTTGATTAATCAATTTATTTCCCTGTCACTAACTCACTATGTATATTTCATATCAGGAGTATCCCACTTACTGGTCTCTCGCTAAATATTCTGCCAATAAATAAATAATTCACAAGCTGATATTCACGAATTATTCTGAAAAACAGCGTTGGAACACATCCAAGCGACAACATTTCTTCTCGCTTCGAGTCACCGACATGTGGAACAGCCTCCCTGATAGCATCGTTGACGCGACGAGTATGAACGCCTTCAAAAACAGACTAGACGAAGCTATGCAGGAGCATATGTTCAGTCTTAAAATGCCTAGCAAATTACGGACCAGGCAATAAGCCCAGCAGCTATCTCAATCAACCGTCAGTTATGGAAAGATCCGGGTCCCAAAGGCCGGATCCCTTGTGAATCAAGTCACGAAAAGTACAAGAATCGGCAAAAGGCCATGGGCCTATTTCTTCGGTGCCGACACTTCTATTCTATTCTTTTCTATGAATAACGAATTCACAAGCTGGTATACAATCAGAGCAACACCCTGGAGACCTTCAAGAGACAACTGGACGTGTTCCTGGGCACAATCCCAGATCGACCTCTCCTGCAACACAACCAGCGGCGAGAAGCAAGCAACAGCATCGTGCATCAGGTGGCCCAAATGAGGGCGGATGAACGATAAGCAAGAGGCTGCGATCCATCGTGGTCTGGGACTGCTACGTCCGAAACAAGTACCAAGATTACCAAGCAACACTATAGCTCACTGCAGCGTGGGCTGCGACTGAGACCAGCCGTGCAGGTTGTGTACGTCGTAGTGGCGGTAGGTGTCATGGCGGGCGTTCATGCATATCGTGCCGCTCGACAGCCTGGAAGTGAGAGGCTGAATTTCATTTCTGATTGATGTATTTCATTTAACTTCATTTACATTACTTATTTTAAGTATTTACATAATTGGGCATAAAATTGTAAAAATAATGAAGAATAGATAACATTTCTTGGACATTCTTCCGACTGAATTATCAAAATAGGTTTTATTGAGAAAAAATGCTTCACATGCATTGTGAGAAGGCTGTGGCATGTCATGCCTACCGCATTAATGAGTAACTTGAAAAAAGGGGGTGCGAAGAAGGGGAGTCATGGAAAAAAGTGAAACTTTAATGTTTACAGCTAGTGTCTCACTATCTTGTCAAGATATTTCCAGTCTTTGGCCAAAATCTACTTGATAAATGAAAATTGATTGTCTAGAATATTGCGTGCTAGCTTACTATGCCCCGCTGCAGCCTGGAGCATTTATTTATTTGCTCTTTAACAAGGATTTCAGTGTCGCAAAATAGAAAGATTGCAGTTTAAAAATTGATTGCATTGAACTGACTTATTTGTTGCTCATAACATAACCTGTTTGAAACTTTTAATTTAAAGCGGGTGTTTTCCTTAAAGACACTGTTGGAAACCTCGAATATTTATTTAAACCATCTCATGTTTAAATGCAAATGCAATAACCTAAACCCATTCTTCAAGCACGCCTCACGATATAACCAATTATTAAAAATAATACAACAAAATCTTCTAAAATTATTTCACAAACATATTTTCTATCAAAAAATTAGTTTTCAAGCATAAAGTGACCATTTCCGATCAGCATTTTGCCGATATAAGAAAATTTCCTAATATTATGGCATAGCCATGCTTTTTTAGCAAAAAATGCATTTCCAGGATGAATTGGTCGTTTAATGTGAGCCTTCCTTAAAAAGCGAGGGCCCCACCTAACGACGCCTGCTCTCGTGGAGTAGGGCGGGTCGTCCCACGTAGAGTTTGGGCAGCTCAGACTGAGCACGTCTTGTTCCGAGTTGGTGTTGAGGCTTACAGGCTCGTTCATGTCCTAGCGGCACGGCAAATTAATGAAACAGACAAACTAGAAAACTATGTCCGCTTTTAAAAAACTGGATTTCAACTATATATATATTTTTATGCAATTTCAATCTAAAAACTACGATGTGTAATGATGAATTATTATTATTAACTGACAATCAAGAGTCCATCGAACTGCAGGGCGTCCCTGAAGCGCAGGATCTCATCGCCCCACCATGTCTGGGTGGCCGGACGCAGGAAGTCTGCGAACGCGGACCTGTTGTCGGGCCGGGCCTGGCGGGGGGTGTCGGTCATGGCGGTGGAGGAAAGATGAAAGATAAAGAAAGATAAAGATGGCGGTCATCATATTAATAACCGCAAGCAAGAGGTCATCATATTAATAACCGCAAGCAAGAGGTCATACATTAATAACCGCAAGCAAGAAGATGAAAGATAAAGAAAGATAAAGATGGCGGTCATCATATTAATAACCGCAAGCAAGAGGTCATGATATTAATAACAGCAAGCAAGAGGTCATTATATTAATGAAAGGTTATAGTTAGTTGCTAGTCTCAAGATAATGCTAATAATGGACACCCACATGTCCAAGGAGTAGGTCACCGGCGCCATAGTTGTTGCCGCCGTCAGGCAGCTCTACGTCACCGCCCCACGTGACGTAGACGTTGCCGGCGACCCCGCGCACGTGGACCTCGTAGTCCGGCCCTAGCTGCACGTCAGAGACTCGCGTGGGTTACGATGAATACACAAAAAATAAACCCTTACATGAATCATGGAAAATAAAAATGATGAACATTTCGATGAGAATAAAAAAATGTGAACAAAAAATGTGTTAATAGCAGTATGAATAAAATCCGGAATAAACAAGTGGTAAAAATGAGAAAACCGTACCGTGCATAACGATGAAGAGAAAAGTGCATAATAAATTGAAGAAATACAGAAATATTTAAAATGAAATTATTATTAACATAAAATTATGAAATTAATCCATTTCGATTGGGTAAGATAACACACGCGAGGAAGAGGCACGAGAAAGAGTATAATAACTAAAATAAATGTTATAGAAAAAATATAACTTTAAAATAATGGTAATGGAGAAAATTTTTTAAAACGATCCGTTATAGAAGGCGCTGAAGTGATTCATTTATCTTTTTGCGGTGCACTGCATGATCCATGAATCTCATTGAACACTCCTTGAAAAGAATGACCCCGATCAACGCCGTAATTAAATTAAATAAAAATTGACGAATATCAAGAAAATTGATAAAATGTTATGGTTAGAAAATTCATCGATAAATCATTAGTGTCGGTAATTTATCACTGACTTTTGAATTGTTCGCAGTTATTGGACACCCAAAATCCAGCTCAATGAGCCGGACAACCTCAGCAGTCCAAATTTGATATCGTTGAAGGTTGACCTACTCATAATTGAAAATATGGAAGATTAACCTCCCCATAATTGAATATGTACAAGACTGATCTACCCAAAATTGAAGATGATAATGATTGACCCATGACCCAAACATGATTGAAAATGTTCAAGATTGACCAAAACGTAATTTAAAATATTGAAGATTGACCGACGCATAATACAAATATTGAAGGCTGCCCCACCCATGATTGAAGATTGACGAACACATAATTAAAAAAAATAATTGCCAGGGCACCGAAGGCAAGTGTTACCTCGGCATTAATGGCTGGGTCAAGAACTGTCATGAACTTGACGCCTTCATCTTTAATTTTTTTGACGAACTCTGGCAGTTGGCTGAAGTTGTCGTTGTCGATGGTGAAGTCCAGGTTATGGTGCATGATGTCGATGTCACCGTGCTGGACATCCTGCAAACAAAAACATTTTTTTGTATAATTTGAGTTAAAATGTCATGGAAATCACATACATAATAAACTTTAAAAACACGGAACATTTGCTCTTGTTTGGAAAACTAAATTCATCAAACGTATATCCTGATTTTCAGTATTTCTTGGACGCCTAATGGAACGAAATACCAGTCGCAGATGTTTTGCTTTTAACCGTGGTTAGTCATGCGAGGTTCAAATAAATTAAAATGATTGGGATAGAACTTTGTGCATTCGTTGGTTTGCTGTAAAAATAAGTCGTGCATTCTTTGGCTCGTCGCATAACTAAGTTAGAAAGTTCACCGACTAAGATATTGGCTTACTTGGGGGATGCCGTTGCGACGCGTTCTAGAGACCACGTCCCGTATTTCTTCCGTGTTGTTGTATCCGAGCCTGGGACACGTGTTGCCATTAATACGGTGAAGTATGTATGTAACGGTACAAGCGTGTACTGTTGTCATCAATACGGTGAAGTATATAAGTAACGGTACAAGCGTGTTGCCATTAATACGGTGAAGTATATATGTAACGGTACAAGCGCGTTGCCTTCAATACGTTGAAGTATATGAGTAACGGTACAAGCGTGCTGCCTTCAATAAGGTGAAGTATATATGTAACTGTACGAGCGTATTGACATTAATGCGGTGAAGTATATAGGTAACGGTACAAGCGTGTTGTCATCAATACGGCGAAGTATATATGTGGTACAAGCGTGCTGCCTTCAATAAGGTGAAGTATATATGTAACTGTACGAGCGTATTGACATTAATGCGGTGAAGTATATAGGTAACGGTACAAGCGTGTTGTCATCAATACGGCGAAGTATATATGTAACGATACAAGCGTATTGACATTAATGCGGTGAAGTATTGTGTAGCACAACAGTGCACTTGTATAGACCTGATATTAATTCAGAGCACACACGTTAGACTCACAATAAACCTAGCATAAATCAGTGCCGCAGGTCAAGACCGAATTCGTCCCACTTTGTTTTACGGACCAACCGCAACCAAGCGGCCCAGTAGTCTATACGATATTGCTAAACGGTGATGAAATGAGAATAAAATAGTATATAAGTATAGATGATACCTGCCAATGTGGTGCCCCAGAGCCCAGTATGGGGGCATGGCAGGGAGCCCCACAAGCTGGGCGTACTGCTGAACGACGCTGTTAGGGGCGGGCCCCAGCAGGAAGAAGAGGTCCATCACGCCCCCTATGGCGCGCAGGGCCAGCCCGGGCTTGGGGATGAGTTCAGCCTCTGCATGGGGCCAGGTCATGATACATGTTCGTTGTGTTATATTCGTAATAAATAAGATATTTTAAACATCTGTTCGGTACATTTCTCGCATAAGAAGCTACTCTTTCTTCACAAATATCAATGCTCTAGCGTTAGTTGATGTACTTTGACTCTCTCTAAGTGATTCAGGGTGTATATTAGAGTAGAACATGACACCCATGATATTCTCAGAGTGCAGCAAATCTCCCATGATGTTTCTAGAGGAAAACATGTCACCCATGATGTTCTTGGAGTAAATTAAGTCACCCATGGTGTTAATAGAGTAGAATAAGTCACCCATGGCGTTGCTGTTGAGCCACAGGACGGCGTGGGCGTGAGTGTCGTCCTCGATGACGTAGTACACGGGGTGGGCGCCGTACAGGTTTGTGGTCGACCCCTGGTAAAAGCAAGAATTATTCCGACTTTAGTTCTGAATTAATCTGAATTAAATCATTTTATTTTCATCTCCACCATGTAATTGTAGTGTAGTGATGGAAATTCTCGAGTACTGATGGAAGTCAAATAAGGGTTTTCAGTTTTATTACTCAATATTGTCAAGGCGTCAATTGAGTCTGGTGTTTTGCATTGCATGCGCGAAGCACTTCATAAATAAACTTAGTAATCTAAATTATGAAAAATTGCAATAAAAACTACGGGCGTGGGTTAAGGGATAACAGGAAGTAAAGTGTAACGATGAACAGAGAAGTATAAGTAAGATCAGATATTAGAGAGGGTAGCAGAAAATTGGCTCATTGAAGTGTTACGCATAATGAATATGTTATCATCAATAAGTATTGATAAGCACCAGACGCACCAATATAGGTAAACTTATTACTGTAATGTATTGTTCACGTTTGCAATATACAGTCCTCACTGGGTAGGGAGGCTGTGCCCTGGCAAAGATGGGGTAGACGATGGGGGAGGCGAAGCTGTGCCTGAAGGAGGCGTGCGCGTGCTCCCCCAGACCGTAGACGTCGGAGGACGGCAACGACGTCGCCACCTGCAGGAACTGCGACGCGTACGTCAGCCCACCCAGACCACTGTCGAAACTGTCGGGGGACTGTGGTTACGACGTGTCGGGGGTTCTCTGGAAAACTTTCTTTATGGGTGAGACCTTTGCGTCTAAAGTGTTATTATAGTCTGAAACTGACAAGTGAACTGTTATTTTAGAGCGGAACCGTCGGGTGAGGTGTTATTATTGTCGGGCATTGTATGATGAACTTTAATTTACAACAAAAACTATCGAATGAATTGTAATTATGCACGGGAAACATTGAATCTTTAAGTGACTGTCGATCGTAAAATGGCAAAGATGGACTTAACAACTGCGAAGCGTTGTAGAACAATCCAACAATAGCTTAAACTAAGTATTCATTTATTCGAAAGAATTTACGAAATATATTGCCTAAATAATTAGTTTTAAGTGACGTACATGACGGTGCCAGAGTCCTTGCGGGTGACGACAAGGGTGAACACTTGGCCTATGACGTCATCAGCAGAGAAGGCGACGTCGTAGAGCTCCTGGTCCGGCGCCTGGGGGACTGGCAACTGCAGGGGCACGGGTGGCTCGAACCTCTCCTCGCCAGGCACTCTTATCTGCATACATGCTTTCTGTCTAAATTCAACAATCTTAATTCAAAATCTAGATTAGACATTTTAAATTCAACAATCTAATTGCAACATCTAAATTCAACAATCAAAATTCAACATATAAATTAAACATAATAAATTAAACAATCTAATTTCAACGATCTTGATTGAAAAATCTAAATTCAAAAATCTTAATTCAACAATTTAAGTTCAACGATCTAAATTCAACAATCTAACGTCAACAATCTAATTTCAATAATCTAAATTCAACAATCTTAATTGAACAATCAATTTCAACAATCTAAATTCAAGTCTAATTTCAACAATCTAAATTCATCAATCTAAAGTCACCAATCTAATTTCAACAATATAAATTCAACAATATAATTTAAACTATCTAAATTCATCAATCAAAATTCGACAATCTTAATTTATCAATCTAAAATCAACAATCTAAATTCAACAATCATCTTCATAGACATATGTGAGAATTTGTTCCAATAACGATTCATTTATTGCCCTCTAGTGGGTCAACATGGTCCAGTACGTAGGGCCCGGCAAAAGGCGGATCAGTGCTACGTCCGCTCACTGTTGGTGTGGAGGGTAAGAAAATTGTCTACTTTTGGGACAATATGACTCATTCGCTTTTCTGAGTGTAATGAAATATAAAATTTAATTGAATTCTTAACCAAAAATTCATATAGATACACTTTAGATCCTGTCTTTTATGCACTTTTGAATGAAATGTCTTCAGTCTAACTTGCCTGGTCGTGCATGTAATAAATCTTTTGCCAAATTACAAATATTTTAGAAAAAAATTTTGTGAAGAAACTGCAGATCTGCCAAATTACACCAATTTTAGAGCATTGTGAAGAAAGTGCAGAGCCTCACCCTGACTCTGAACATGGCGTCGCCGTACTGCGTGAGCTCGAGGACAAGTTCTTGCTTGAGTTCTGGGACGACCTTGGCTGAGGTGTCCAGCAGGCCCAGCTGTAGGGTCCAGATGCCAGGGTCGGTGTAGGTGCGATCTAGCACCCTGTACCCGTGGGTGTCGGCGGGGGGGAAGTAGCACGAGGGCGCGCCACCCTCTATGGGGGACCACAGGCACCCAGAACTGGTGCACTCTGACTCACTTACGTCAACTGGGTGAAAAATACGTCAGAAAATTACGTCTAATTTTTGTAGGGGTTGACTCACTCTCGTCAACTGCGAGAAAAATACGTCAAAAAATTGAGTCACCCTCTGGGAGAGGTTGTAGTTTAAATATTTTTGTAGTAGTTTTATTGCGTGGGTTAATTTGTTTGTATGTTTGAAGCCTGGAACCCCAAATATATTTGGGCGCAAATCCATGTTACTTGTCGTGTCGGTTACTCTTTCCCGACTTAATTAAATCGTCATTAACCTATACAGATTAGTCTTGAAATGCCAAGCAACATGTCCTTGTTGCATTCGTCACTTTACGTGACCAACTAATTCATCTTCCATTTCACTTATCTTTTTACGTTCTCCTTCTCACATCATACTTATTTTCCAACAAAATATGATGTTAGTAGTCAACTTTTGGCCTTCCCGGCAAGATATTTTCCACTATCTTTCATCACTATCCCTGATTAACGAATTCATCATTCATTGCATTCATCACTCTAGGTTTTCGTTTTGCTAACCAACATTCATATTGCTAACTATCTGTTATTAATCATCTTATATTGACCTGCTTGTGAAAATATCATGATCTGACAGATATAATATCCTGTGCTCGCCACTAATATTAAAATGCTTCATATTATTTTATAAATATTATTTGAGTATTAATATTGATATTCAAACGATAATTAGCAATAACATCAATATCCTGACTTGCCAGACATGAAATCCTGTGCACGCAATAATATTCAGATGCTTTAAATTATTATATTAATATTATTTGAGTATTAATATTAACACTCAAACGATAAATATTCATAACATCAATATCCTGACCTGCCAGACATGTCAGGTCCTGCACGCCAATAATATTCAGATACTTCAAATTATCTTATAAATATTATTCAATTATCAATATTGATAATCAAATTATAAATATTCATAACATCAATATCCTGACCAGCCAGACAAGATATCCTGGACTTGGACGCGGCGAGCTCAGCCTTGTGCCTGAGGAAGACCAGCGTCGTGGGTACCACCACCACCGCCACCATCACCACCAGCAGTAGCGGCTGTAGGACGTAGCGCTGCAGACGAGGGTGGTGCCTGCAGCATGACTTCTTAGACGCTTCCCGACCCATGCGCAATTCTGCATCGTGCACACAAATAATATTCAGTTAACTCAATTATCTTATCAATAATATTTGATTGATAATATTTGGTTAATAATATTTATAATAATATATTTGGTTAATAATCGTGCGAGCAGCACGATTTTTTAGACGCCATGCTTAGCTCTGCATTGTAGAACAAACAGTCAAATATATTCATATAATTCTTATACTTCATTAATATTATTTGGTTATACATATTATAAACAGAACTATCAATAGTTAGAAGGGCAAAAAATCGAAGAAATGATAATATAAATTAATATTTAGGTGTCTAAGAGATTTCGGTACTTAAAATCTATTCCTTTAATGATGCTTGCCACATCTCCCTGCCATCCTGGCTTGTAAATGTCGTCACAACAGCGGGCATTCAATTGGGTAGTCGGTAGTGAGCCAGGCTTGTACAAACACATGATGTCACCCCAAGTCATACAGGTACCCAAAGTCACGTAACCTCACTGAAAGTCATGTGACGTCACTCAAAGTCACATGACATCACTCAAAGTCATGTGACGTAACTCAAAGTCATGTGACGTAACTCAAAGTCACATGACGTCACTCAAAGTCATGTGACGTCACTCAAAGTCACATGACGTCACTCAAAGTCATGTGACGTAACTCAAAGTCATGTAACGTCTCTTAAGGTCATTAAGGACGGCATCAAATTGGCACAACGAAGCGCTGTTATACTTGCCTTCTCATGAAGCTAATTTACTTCCTGAGTCCCAATCAGTGTGAGCGATACCTTTTGGCCCACGCGGGAACCTTCTGGCCCACGCGGGAACCTTCTGGCTCACGCGAGAACCTTCTGGCTCACGCGAGAACCTTCTGGCCCACGCGAGAACCTTCGGGCCCACGCGGGAACCTTCTGGCCCACGCGAGAACCTTCTGGCCCACGCGGGAACCTTCTGGCTCACGCGGGAACCTTCTGGCCTACGCGGGAACCTTCTGGCTCACGCGAGAACCTTCTGGCCCACGCGGGAACCTTCTGGCCCACGCGGGAACCTTCTGGCTCACGCGGGAACCTTCTGGCCTACGCGGGAAGCTTCTGGCACACGCGAGAACCTTTTGGCCCCACGTGAGAATCTTTTGGCCCACGCGAGAACCTTCTGGGCCCACGCAGGAAACTTTTGGCCTCACGCAAGGACTTTTTAGACCCACGCGGGAACATAATAGCCAAAAGTTCATTCATATCATAATGAAAGCTTTAATTTTTATTTCTCATCAACTGTTTGGCTCGACGTCCATATCTCTGTGCATCCATAGATAGACAGATTATATATCTATCGACCTAAATATATCTTAACCTTTCAACACATTAACAAACTTCAGACTATTGCATTCAGAGCCTATAGGTTATTATGGATAAGTTTTCATATATAGTTAATATGTTTTACGGTAACTGTTGATGCAAAAAATTATTCTCTCAGTTCATAGCTTTGAGTGAATAAATTTTCACCCGTATTGCAGCTGATAAATGTGAAGATAAGCATGACCACGTCTCTGATATCTCACTGCTCGTCTTAGCAGCTGATAACGCTTAGCTTATCGTGACGTGTGACCTGACGCTGATGTAATATTATATTATAATTGAAATTGGATGAATTATATATAATTATGATATCATAATTAATTATAAATTAAATACACGAGCTTCTATATAATTATCTTTAGGTTCAGCTTTTAGATTAGATTTTCAAATAAATAATAAATTGCAATATATTAAATAGATTTTTAGTAGGAAACTCAGGAACGCTACAATACGTAACTTTAGTTCACATATATACTGTGCTATTGAAAATAATAATCATTTTAAAAAAGTCATGCCAAGTGCAGATGTAATATTGAATTATCACAGTTTTTACAGAAACATAGCTCAGTCACCGTGAGCAACATACATCCTTTATTCTATTAGCATCAACATTCATCTATTAATCCATTCATCCCTTTGTTCGCTAAATGAATAGCCGCCTCGCGCTGAGTATAGAAGAAAAATAAAATGAATCCTCGCTAAAACATCTCAATACAGACAATACTCAACTATAGGTGAGTGTACTCACATTAATATACTTGATCTTGCGGCTGGGAGGTTTTACTCACACCATAAGTCTTAAAAAAATTAATGATACTTGATCGCGTCCTTTCCGCCAACACAAGTTTTCAACAAAGTTATGAAAAAATTAGTATTCCATTAGTTCTGACAAAACAGCACAAGTCTTCAACAATATCAAAAGAAAACTTAATACTTGATCACGTCCCGATGATCTTGATGTTGCGCTTTGTCTAACTACTCAGGAGTTGACATGTTTAGTTTAGTCTAATTACGATGAGTATGATTAAAGAATTTATTGCGCAATTTCAGGGAAAATGCTATCAAGTCTGAAGAAAAATATACAAGTTTGATGAGGAAACTTCATTGATACTATGTTAGAATAAATAAATATGGTCAAATTTCCTGGATGAAATCCGAACTACTGAGTTATATAGAATGTTAAAGTCAGAATTTTAACCGCATCGCAAATTGACGTAATCGGTTATGAATAGATAACTCGTGAAATATATTTGAAAAATGATCTACTATCAAATCATCACGAATGCTAGCCAGTGATGTGAATATCGCCACAATAGTCGCCTTGCCACACAACCTAACTCCTTGAAGTCACGACGTACACTAAAGCTGGTCACGTCTTCTGGCACTGCAAGCAAACTACAGTACTTCCTAGCCTGCTGCTCGGGCATTGTTTGTAGTCTGGCGGTTGCCTCCTCTAGAAATGCACTTGCATACTGAGAAAAATGAATGGATCATAGTGTCCAAATTGTCACACACTTGATTCTTGTAGCACGTTCCTTTTCCGGGCCAAACTGGATCAAGATGACCCACATAAGGTAAAGAGTGCATCGCTAATTTTAACAACTTCTCATCCATTTCTTTGAGTGCACATTTCGTAAATAAAATCAGGTAGGTACGGCACTTCAATGCTAGGATTCAGTGCGCAAAATTTATACCGCTACGGACACCGCAGTGAACAGTTTTCCGTGAGGTAAGGCAAGATGCATTAATGAATTGCCTGGAATGATACAGAAATCCCCGAGATGCTCGGCCAAACAAGGGATTAAGAAATAAAAAGATTAAAAATATAATTCTATAATAAACACTTTTCTGTTTACAATTTTACCTAGTATGCCCATTTATAATTGCTGAAACATTGATATTCTACTATTTATCCCCATTTAATTAAGAGCTGCACACAATATTTGCTACTCGACTACATGTAACTAACAATAAACGAAAATATATGAAAACACATTTGGCACCAGTTTTAAAATTATCATAAAATCTTAAGCAACTGTTGAGTAATGGCTCACTGTATAGCGGGTGATTGTGCATGACGACACGTCCAAATGATACCGCCTCCATTAAAATCTTCCATTAGATTCAATTTGAGTAATAATACAAACACCAACTGAATATTTCAGTCCAGATAGATGGCGAAATTCAGCAATCATGGACGATTGCAAAAAAATCAATTTTATGTTCGGTTGTTAATGAAGAATCTACATGTGTACGTCGTGCGAATGTTGGGTACGTGACCGCACACAAAGACTAGCGAGGCTGTACAACATGTGCGACATGTAGGAGTCATGTCTACGTTCTGTACATCTAACCTCAAAATAAATGCATCCAAACACATCAAATACGTATATCATATACTACATCAAAACAACACATTGTTTTATTAAGAGTTTCGATTCGTTGGCACAAGCCCTACAGATTATAAATATAGTGAGAGACGAGCATCCCGGTGACACGTAAACTCCATTAAAGATCTACTCTCTTAGTCAATAATTGAGCAATGGTACAGGGACTGATTTAGGCAATATATCTAGCGAATATGTCACCAATCACACAGAAAAACGAGATGTTATCTTCACCAAAATGTGATAAAACTTAATGTCGGATATCAGGTAAATCGCACTAGTTGTAGTGCAGTTCGCTTAGTGCGGGTTTACTTAGAAGGAATTTGTAGGTTCGTCAATATTAATCAAGATAATGTAGTTAGATTATATACATATTGATAAGCAGGCATAAGAGGTAGGTATTTAGACTTTTCTTCATCTTGTCAGATGGATATTTTCAAACCATTTTCTCCCGTAAAATCTATCTTATTTTGATTGAAATGTTGTACGTTTCGTATGTTTCCGCTTTCAGAAGCAGTATTTTGATTGGAAATAAGAAATAAATTACACTAAAAGAGCCACAGTGTGGAGTACACGAAGATGCCCAAGTTTACTACTAGAAAAACTAAGTTATTATAAATCTAACTATTCTATAACAGTTCTATAATTATCCTTGTAGTTAGTATCACAAGATTTCGGCTGGGCATCGCCAGCCGCCAAAAGCTCGTTCGAGATCCGCGGCGACCGCCAGGGTGAGTCGGTCCATCTTCAGGCCGCCCACCACCTGAAACGCGGAAACCGGAACCATGAATGAATGAAAGTTATACATTAATTAGGATTCTTGTTTTGGCATCATGTGCAGCTCAAAAGTTATAAACAATTAAATAACCATATAACAAAGGTGTGACATTATACATAATTGACAAATAAAATACAAATTTGGTAATTGCAATACAGAAGGCAAAACGTAATTAGAGAACAGCAGTGCTGGTCTGAACTGTCACATTTTACAAGCAATTCCTGTGGATATTTTGAGGCAATATAGGTAGAATTACAGTGGAATATATCGAGTTGAAAATATATATTCTGCTGAATATATATGAAAAGGTATACTTTTAGATTTGTCTCTTGGTTCACGCCATGTAGTCAAAACTGTTCACTGCTAGGCGAGTCTTTGGATTCTATAGGCCCCTGCCTTCTTATTACCAAAGGCAGCTTCCCTTACTTGTATGCCCATAGGCAGGCCGTTGGAGGCAAGGCCTAGAGGCACCTGGGTGACAGGCAGGCCGAGGGCGTTGAAGATGGCGGTGTACGTGAAGTTTAGGGGGAGCATGAAGGGTTCACGGTGGTGGGGGGCGAGAGTTGGGTGGGAGGGGTACAGCAGTACCCCTGTACTGCCCAACGTTCTCTGCAAGAGAAATAATTACACGTTCGCCACGTCAAGAGCAAAACCGTCGCTTTAGCATTAAGCGTCCTCGCTAACGTTTTAAATATCGCAAATATCAAACTGATCAGGAGATCGTATTCCACTGCCCTTTCCCCACGGACCAGGAGATGAGATCGTATTCCACTGCCCTTGCCCCACGGACCAGGAGATCGTATTCCACTGCCCTTGCCCCACGGACCAGGAGATCGTATTCCACTGCCCTTGCCCCACGGACCATGAGATCGTATTCCACTGCCCTTGCCCCACGGACCAGGAGATCGTATTCCACTGCCCTTACCCCACGGACCAGAAGATCCAGAAGATCGTATTCCACTGCCCTTGCCCCACGGACCAGAAGATCGTATTCCACTGCCCTTGCCCCACGGACCAGAAGATCGTATTCCACTGCCTTTGTCCCACGGACCAGGAAATCGTATTCTACTGCCCTCGCCCCACGGACCTGAAGGATGCCCAAGACGCCCCGCCACTGCGGCTGGGCCTTCTTGCCGTCCTTGGGGCCTCCGGTGCCCCAGTCCTCAGCGATGGCCTGGAAGAGGCTCGGCCACGTGTGGTTTGCGCGCCCCAGTGCTGCACGCACCACCTCCGTCCACGTGCTGATCTCACCCTGCGGTGCCCACGGATAAATACATAAATAATCCTCATAAATATTTTTAACATCAAAAAAAGTGTAATTGGCAAAGGCGAAAAGAGCAATGAAGAAATAGTTAAAAAGAAATACTCTTCGGTCTTCAAAAAAACCTGCGCTAAATAACTACTTTTGCATAATTATTCCGATTAAGATAAATGAATAAATACTTCATACTTAACAGAGGTTAAGTATTATTCTTCAATAATGCTATTGTAAATAAGCTCACTAGTAAATAAACTTAACATTGAATACCATAACTCGATGGTTTTATTGACTCAACAGAATAGCCAAAATAATAACTGGATGGTGTTAAATTCATTGGCCACTTGATTTGTATCAAGAGGTTAACGATCATCATTCAGCAATAAAAAATAAATACAATTTCGCTAGCATCACACACTCAGGGCAAAATAACTAGGCCTAGGTTAAAAATTTTAAAGTAATAGTTAAATCGGAATAAATTAGGTTAAATTAATAGGTTATATTAGGCTACATTATTAGGCTACAATAAGCTAAATTAACAGCTTTAATCAAAAACTTAAATTAATAGGTAAAAAACCAAAATTTTCACATCGATAGGCTAAATTAATATGTGACAGGGAAAGGTTATATTGATATTACATTATTAATGTAATATTAATTATAATATTAATATTAGAATTATATATTAATATTACTTTAAATTCTGGCACCTTAGAGTCGGCGAGCTGCTCTTTGATGTTGGGGCGGCCGCTGGTCTCCTCCCTGATCTTCTCCAGCCAAATGCAGAACGAGCGCTGCAGCGCTGGTAATCTCATCTGTTAACATTAGCATGGCAGTAACAAAACCGTGAATTAAAGCTATTTAAATCTATTATCAAACTAATAAAATTAAGACATTTTGTTAAGCCGGCCACCTCATCTGTTAACAATAGCATGGCAGTAACAAAACCGTGAATTAAAGCTATTTAAATCTATTATCAAACTAATAAAATTAAGACATTTTGTTAAGCCGGCCACCTCATCTGTTAACAATAGCATGGCAGTCACAAAACTGTGAATTAAAGCAAATTAAAGCTAATTATCAAAATAATAAAACAGATACATTTTGTTAAGCCGGCCTCCTCATCTGTAAACAATAGCATGGCAGTCACATAACTTGGGGTGGCCGAAGGGTTATGGTCACCAATATTGTGGCAGCTAGTCGGGGGATCAGAACCCGCAACTGGTTGTGAAATTTTTGGTCAAAATTGCCAGGGGTTGCCAGGCGGCGAAGAATAGCGACAGTTAAATATGCATGACACTCATTGATGTCCACTTCTAGTTTCCACATTTTGTGCCTGATGATAATTATTTTAATTTCAGAGCTACGCTGACAGGTTAACCTATGAGTCGCCACTACTCTATTCGAAGGGCACCTAGTAATTAAGCAAGATCTCAAAAACTGATAATGTAAGAAATTGAGAATTCGTACCTCGAATGTCTGTCATTTGTAGAAGAGCATCCATACATCATGAAGCGGTATCATGATTACCGATCAAAGTTTCAACACAAATAAAGAAGATGAGAGTGGTTAAATTATAAGAGATGGTAAAATAATCTTCAAAATTATTCTCATATCCGCACGTTCTATGAAAACAGTCATCGAGGTACAAAGCTGCAAAAATCACCAAGCCTTCAATGGGCATCATGTGCGGAAAAGAAATCGTGTCCAAAGAAGACAATAAAGTCCAAAAAAGCATCAATGAAGCTCCTCGTCCCTGTCTTTTGTGTGAGATCATCAACGCATCAACCCCGGACCCAGATTCTAGCAGGGAGCAAATAGAGCTCGGCAAATGCGATGGAGAGCCTCATGTTCTTATAGAAACCCACGCGAGCAAACTTCTGCACCGACACCATGACGCGCAGTACGAGCAACTGCTGCAAGGCATCCCTGTTATCAATTAAATTGCTCCTGAAGAACTAGAATCCGACCCTGGCCGAATCATGCTATTATGTTTCCGTAAGTACGGAATCCGGACCATCACGCGGTCACGCGTCTGCCTCTGGATGCAGAACCTTAAGTCGAGAATAAGCTCGTTCCTCTAGAAACATTTAGTGAAGAGCGACGCGGCCACGTCAGAAGATTCAGACTGGGATAGCTCAAACTCGTCGGTTGAGTGCAAGGAACGCTGTCACACCGTAGAAATCCTATCCAAGTACGTCTTGATCCATTAACATGGTGAATATCCCTACGAAGAGACGCTGTATCTAGGCAAGGTAATATCCATACAAGAAGAGTACTGGCAAGACGATCAACTGTAAGCTCTGCATGACGCTTTTCGCAAAGCGAAGACGATTCATCCTCTGCCTAACAAAAACAGAAATCGTTACTATTGATTGGTTTATACTAATTTGCGTGTAATTTCCGCGGTACTTCATGCTTAAATTAAAACATTAATGATAATAAATAATTAACAAAGCTGCAATTCATTCCTCACGCCAAAAAGCGATCCTATTAAAATACGTTTAATTTTTTTTGCAATGGATAATACTTTCGTTGAAAGTTGACTGACAATGCAGATTTACTATATAATGGTTCAGTGGGCTACATTTTTACCGCCTGATTAAATAAAAACCATTTAATACGGTTTTAGCAATTACAGCGAGACTAAAATCATTTTTATTCGGAATTTGCTCCGTGGCCCGTTATCTGAAAAACTTTGACGCTTCTATCGATCAACTTTTTTGAATGAAATTACTTCCTCAAGTGTAAAACTTTGATTGCAACATTTCAGTTTATTTATTCAAATTAATACTTTTAAAGATAACATTGAGTGTGCTTGAAGCCTGCCTAGGTGCTATGGATACCTATGGTGCTATGAAATCTACACTTCTGAGGCGCTGATGTTCGCAATGATTGCATTATAATGCGATCTATGCTGCCATGTATTTGAATCGTAATATTGCTATAAAAAATTTCGTTCCCAAGCAGCATCAGTTTAATCTTCTAGCTTTGGCTATGGCTAATAGAAAGCCAAAGATATTTTTTGTTATATCTAGACAATTTTTCTCCCTATTATTATTTCTATATATAAAATGACAGGACGCTTATGGAAAAGCTTTGCTCCCAGCGCTATTTCAAGCGCCTAGCTTTTAATTTTAGAAAGAAAATGGATTTACACTTATTTTTAGATAATTGTTATCCCTCAAAATCATTAGAAACATTTTTTTCTAAATCTCTTATGAAACAATTATTCATCAAAAAGTCTTGAAACAATTATTCATCAAAAAGTCTTGAAACAATTATCCTTCAAAGTCATTTATAAAAATAAAATAACTTATTCAAAATAACTTGAAACCAATTATTATGGTTCGCAACTGACTTTAGTGACGGAGATGTCATGCGTGGCGAGGAAGTGCGTGACGACAGCCTCCTGCACGCGCCGCAGCTCGCGGCAGACTGGCGATGTAAACACCCCGCCTGCGTCGTCCGCGACGCTGAACACCTTCACCTGCGCCAGGTTGTATAGTGGCAAACCAGTGATTTTTCAGAATCAGTTCATTTTTGATTTTCTCATTTACTCAATATTTAAATCAATATCTTATGTATGATGATGCTGCTATCCATGATATTTTGCTGGTCTACTTATAAGATTTGAAATTGAACTTGAAGGAGAGTCTAAAAAATTCTCTGCTTCACCTGCGCCAGGTTGACCGGCGCGTCGAGGTGATACTCGGGCAGCACTTGGGGATCTGCTAGCACCTTCAGCATGGGGATTAGGTCCTCGCTGTGTCGGGTGATGGGGCCCGCTGTGAGGACTGTGTTGGGGGAGGGAGGTTCGGAGATACCTACACCCCGAGCACTGATCAGGCCTGAGAAACAAGGGCGAGGAAAAATATTTATAGTTTCTGATCAATACAAATTTCAAACCTGAGGAAAACGCGCCGATTTGTACTAAAATATGCGTCACTAGAAATTACCAGCCATATACAAATAAACCAAGGTAGCACCTCCGTAACTTCAACCGTAATATAATAGCTTCTGAAAATACTTGTACCAAATACCGAAATTGCAATTGATAATATAGTTGAAACCGATTAAATCCAATATATTAAATCAAAATTAAAGTGACCAGATTGCTTTAATATTTTTATTGAAATTAAGCAATTAAATTGAATCACAATTAAGATCATTTATACATCAATTATCGATTAAATTAACTAAAAAGATAAACCGTAAGCAGCACACTACACGACCAAGCCATCTTACCGGCGGTGGGCTTGTGGGAGAACAGCCCACAGAAGAGGGCGGGAGTCCTGAGGGATCCGCCGATGTCGGATCCTATGCTCAGGGGCGTCCCGCAGGCACACATCAGCGCCGCCTGTAGGATACGTTCAAGGATCTTCATCATTTAAGATCTTCATTTTCTCGATTGTCCTTTTGCCAATCAAACTTGGGAAAACGAATGGGTTACATTGCCCAAATAATGACGCATTCAAACCCAAAGCATAAGCATAGAGCAGACGTAAGACTGATACGCTCAAAATAATCAATAATATAACTCAGTACTCACTGCAGTGAGTGACAGAGAGCGCATTTTCTCGTCGACGAAAACTTGAGGTCACGGACGGACAGACAGACGGACATGGCGAGCACATTAGTGCATTTTTTCCATAAATGAGAAAATGCGCTATAAGACTTAATTCAATAAATTCATGATGTTAACCTTGAAGGTTTTTTCTTGTAGGATCTCCATGAGTAACATTTCATTTTTATGCCTCCGTTTCAATTTTCAAACAAAATTTATAATTGTCTATGCACATTCTTCATGTTTAATTTTAGAATTATTATTCAATCTTTCCATAATTAAATTGCTTTCAAAAATTCGCGCGAAAAATTTACAATAATTTGTTGAAAATAATTACACAAGCTTTTTATTGAATGAAATTGGCACCTCTCCTCCAGACGACCCGCCAGGGGTGCGGTTGAGGTTGTAGGGGTTGTTGGTGGCGCCGTACAACCTGTTCTCTGACTCCCACCAGTTGCCGAGCTCCGACACATTCGTGGTTGCCAGCAAGATGCCGCCTGCACACAACCAACTTCATACTACAGCTGCTTGCCACACCGACGCTTATGCCTTCCATTTAAACTAACGAAATGAACAATTATAGAGAAAGGGAACTACGCAACCACTATTCACTTGGAGGTATTTATGCAATAAGTAGATAATACGTAAATGATTATAATTCAAGGAAATTAAGTATTTTTTAATAGGTAGTTTGTTCGATGGCGTGTAGCCAGCCAAGTGTGGGTGTTATGGATATCCTTGATAAGTGCATGTCAAGGTCGTGTCACGGTCATGGCACGGTCACGGCACGGTCATGTCACGGTTGTGGTAAGGTCACGGCACGGTCATGTCACGGTTGTGGTAAGGTCACGGCACGCCGCACGGTCGTGTCGCGTGCGCGATCATGGCACGGTCATGTCTAGGTTGTGGCAAAGGTCAAGTCACGGTCGTGCTACGGCCATGGCACAGTTGAGGGACGGTCATGGCACGGCCGTATTACGGTCGTATCAAGTTCCTGTTTAGGCGCCAGAGCGGAGCGTGTGCCCGCAGCTCACCAGCCTTCCTGACGCGCTCGACGACCTCAGCGTCGCGCTGGGCGACCGTGTAGCGGCGGCTGATGAGCCCGCCGGTGTGGTACAGACCTGGGGGAGGACTAAGTCAATTATATGCACAAGGTTCACGCCACCATGCCTGTCAAGGTAGGGGGTAAAGCCTGCCAGGGTTAAAAGAATAAACTGAACTCGAGGCCGTAGAAGCTTTCCCATGATAACCGGATTTGTTGTCATAACACAACGTCGAAACATTCATCGAAGTTGATGTATTGACGCATAAATGAAATACTCTAGTGGAAAGCACGTATGATATCGAAAATTCGACGTCATGTACAAGAATTCACTGAAGATTACAAGAGCATAAAAAAGTGAGCTGAAATGCGAAGAAAATCAAGTCCTGATGATCAATCATGCGAAATCCTTCCTGTATTTATACATTGAAAAAAGGACGGAATCCCTCTTGTGTTTATTCATCGGAGTAAGGACCAAGTCTTTCCCATGTCTTTCCATTTACATATGGAAGAAGTTTCTCCCGTGTTTATGCAATAAAATTAGGACGACGTCCCTTTTTTATCCATCGAAATTAGGACGAAGTCGTTATTTTATTTAACCTTTGATATGAGGACGAAGTCACTCTAGGGTTCAACCCCAGAAATAAGAACAAAATCCCTCCCATATTTATCCATCGAAAAAAGAGCCTAACCTGCGGCAGCGATGGATTCCTTGACGGTGAAGGGCACCCCCAAGAAGGGTTGGGTGCGTTCTAGCTCCTCCACCGTCAGCGTGCCGTTCTTGAAACCCTGAAATTCATGAAAGAATTGGAAAAAATTATTCTCTGAAAACGTACTTAATTCAGGCCTCTGAAGTGTATACGAAACAATGAGATTGTGTGGCTTATCGCTGAGAAGTTCATAATATTGGAACACTGAGAATGAATTTCTGTAGGCCAAAATAATGACATTAATGATTGAACTTTTCTCTAGTAATATGGGTGAAGAAACTTCCAAAAGATTGCACTAGCTTAAAAGCAAACTAATAAAGTTATTAATGTCATAATTATGAAATAATTGAAACATTATATTCTATACGGTAAATATTATAAAAAACTAAAATATTTAATAACTAAACTAACTTGAGCGATCCTTTCATCGACGCGGCGCGCCTCCTGCAGCGCCTCCTGGAAGTCCTCCTGAGCGAGGGCGTTGAGCAGCGGGTTCACGTCGCTCGTGCGACTGATGTACGCTCGTACGATGCTCACGCTCGTGCGCTGCGGCATTTACAGTGCGTATACTTTAATTATTATGAATGAACATCCCTGTAAAAAATGGGATTCCACAGAATTTCGAAAATATTCGGAATATTAAACAATTTTTCGGCTGTGCGCCTAAAATGAATATTTTGTAGCGTGCAGAGTTGTACTCAAACCTCTAGTATTGGTCATTAAAGCGTAGCCAGGGAATGCTATACGTCCGAAAAATATAATAAGGCCACAAGCGTAAAAATGAGTTTTTGTAGCATGAATTATCGTTCACTTCTCACTTCTGAACCCTGGCTATGAACCCCCAGCACGTTTATAGACGGCCAACACTAAAACTGAATCGCAACCATATAGTTTCTGCCACTGTCACGAGAAAATGAAGAGGTTTCCTTAATAAATACGGGTAATAAGCTAAAGATCCTTTAGAAACATGCCTCAAACAGCATGAAGCAGTACCTAAGAGAAATCAGTTCCTCCTACCTTCACCGTTCCTACGGTCGATCCTACTTTAATTTTTCCTACGGTCCTTCCTACTTTCCTCTCTCCTACGGTCTCTCCTACGTTGTTCTCCACTACGGTCCCTCCTACCTTCCTCTCTCCTACGTTCTTCTCCACTACGGTCCCTCCTACCTTCCTCTCTCCTACGGTCTCTCCTACGTTCTTCTCCACTACGGTCTCTCCTTCTTTCCTCTCTCCTACGGTCCCAATTACGTTATTTTCTCCAATGGTCCTTCCTACCATCTCCTTTCCAACGGTCCCTTCTAGATTCTTCTCTCCTACGGTTCCTCCTACCTTCTTCTCCTACCTTTCCCTCCCTGATGGCCCTGGCGAGTTGGGTGGCAGAGAGAAGCAAGTTCGGATTGAAGACCGGTGGCAGGGGCGTGGTCTTCCTGAAGGAGAAGAAGGCAGCGAAGGCGAGGTGTACGATGCTGTCATAGGCTCTCCTCAGCACGCGCAGCACGGGCCACACCAACGTCAGCACGGCGCTCAGCAACGCATCCATGCTCACCGCGATGCTGGTACCTCAAAGTAAGTATCTGCATTTGGAGAAATGAATTGTTGATTCAATGAATTAATTGCCTCGACAATGAATTAATTGGGTCTAAGGATCCAAATATTGATACACTATATGACCCAAAGCAGGCACTACACCGGGCCAAACTGTTTCAGGAAGATCCAAATATTGGCAAAAAGTGAAATGCTATTAAATTGGACAAAGTCGTCAAACTCATTTTTCCGATTTTAAAGTTCTCACCATTCAAGTTTTAAGTTTAATTCCAGCATTTTTGTTTAGCAATTGGGCTTGTCATCTAAAGTTAACTGCCATAGTGTTTCCAAATTATTCTGAATTTATCTTGTGTTTCTATCTCGTGAATTATTTACGTGCTATACCTTGTTACCGTAGTACGTAATAGATAATCGTAAAGTAACGTAATAGACAACCGATACAGCAATTTTTGTACATAAAGCCTTTTTTATTAAACTTAAATTAATTTCAGCAACAAAAGAAAACGTGAGTTACACGTCACGTTTATGACGGTATAATAAACCCGACACTCGCCTTACTCGCTTTAAGAAATATTTTCGTCATGACCACTACACAGTATATAGAAGAATAATGAGTAGAAGCTCTTAATAAATACAGAGAAATTATGAGTATGTGTATGGTGAAATATTGCGTGGTGGCCAGCGGCAATGCGGTTGATAATGCTTGAAAGTTATCGAGACATTAGCACATCCACGGTATAAATGTATGCCGACCGTTATAGTTAGATCATTAATAACTGTAAATGAGAATTATTACCTATATATTCATTCCCATCAATTTCCCCCACGAAACACATTTGGACAGACAAACAAATAGCAATTACAGTTATTTTAGCTAGCATGTTTCAGTACGCAGGCGATCAGCTGGCGTCGTGAGGCGAACCTTCAGACATTCATCAAAAAACCGACCACAGCCCCTGTTTTATCAGCACGTAGATATAGCGGGAGATAAGCGAACATAACGACCATCGAACCTTATAACTTCCTAACAGATAAAATAAAAAGACAAGTGAGGCATTTAGAAGAGTTTCCCTATGCTGGAGTTATAGTTAGGCAATAAAAGGGACTACATGAATGGACTTTTCTGTAAGAATATTTCATGAATTTTATCAAAGAATTCGAAAAAAATTGTCTGATTGCTTGAAAACTTCTTTATTATATTTAGTTTCGTTAGTCTCCGACGTTTGGAGCAAATGTTGGAGCAATTCTTGACGTACGTCACATCATCAAAAACGGGTAAATCCAACACCAGTTAATGATTCATTACGTCCTTCTAGTTCTTATTTATTCGATATTAAGTAGAGTTTTAATTTGTTCAACAATGGAATTCGTCCTTATAATGATCTCCCCGCCCATTTAAACAACAATTCTTTCTTCGCAACATAAGAAACCAAGAAATTATCACCTAGGTTGAAATAACGAAATACCAATAAAGAATAAGGTTGAAATAACGTTGATGAAAAGTTGTTTCGACGTCATTTGTCGGGAGAGAAGCATGTCGGAGGGAGTGTCAGCTGTATTGTATATATGTATACGGTGCAAGCTCTATCGTCCTAAAGGGGTCCGGCCTCCAGGCAGGAATAGCGTTCTGCATGCTTGAGCCTCCTGCGTGGTAATGAGGTTTAGCATGGGCCGTACCATAAAAAAAGTTACGAGTCGGTAACTCCATCAGCCAATTACAGACGGCTTTCCAAGCTAAACCAACCAATTACATAGAGGAAATCGGCCGCTACGTGGACTGGGGCCGCTTAACTGAATCCTCATACGATTTTTAAGCTACAGCATTGATAGACATATCATTCCATTCATAAAAAAACCATCTAGCAACTCTAGAAGCCATTTTCATGATTTGTACATGGTTTTGATTATATATTGAAAACACTAGAGAGATGGGAGGGGGAAATGGAGGAAAATGGATCGTATTTATAATAAATAAAATAAAAGACAAATCTAAAAAGCTTATAGAGTCTTTAGATATTCTATTTACGAATCGAATGATATTGATACGTCTCTCGATGTAGTAGCACGTGAATTAAAGGATATAGATTTATAACGGACCTCCATTTTTTGCCGTTTATAATATGTGTGCATTTCAAATTTTCTTTCATTTTTTTAATTCATACGGCCAAAATGTTTTTTAGCGATTTGTATATTTTTGCGAATTTTCAGAAATATCAGTCGTTTAGTTTTAGTTGATGCTCATTTCTCCTGAGGTGCAATCACGGGTCGGAAAAAAATTCTGCCTTCGTTGCGAGTTTTTCTTCGATCTCGTCGCCTCCATCGGCCGAAAAAAGGTGACGCCAGTCGCTGCAATTCTAATGAAAACTAAACCATAACTTCTTAAATCCTCGCACTGAGGTATCTAGAGACCAGAAAAAGTCGGCACGGCGAGCCGTGCAACTTCTTATAATATCGTGCATCTGGCATTTGTCGGGAGAAAAAGAAGCCTCAGGAGATAATTTTTTATAGAGTTTGAGAGTGCGGCCAATGCACCGCAGCTGAACGAAGGGTACGAAGGTGGAGGGTACGAACGAATACATGTGCTCATCATTTATTCCTTCTACCTTCATTCGAGTGGAAAATCAATCGGTTTTCGGTTACTGGCTCGCTTAAGTGTACTCGTATAAATTATTTATTCGTACTCATATGTACTCGCACCCTCGTAAATAACGAAGAACAGTAAAAGGTTTTCACGTTGTATCTCCGAAATGTAATCTATAATTACTTTAGTAGTGCCAGTCAATTTATCTACTCGAATCGTGGTATTTAGGTTCAGCTTAAAAAGAACGAAGATTGCCAGAGATTGCACTCAATTATTATTGAAATTCGCAAAAAATATAAATATTTTATCTCTGTGCCTGCTCCAAGATTTCTCGCCTCATTTCACCACAAGCCTCCAGACGTGAGATAAAAAATCCTACACAAACCATATAATAATTTTTCGTGCAAACCATATAATCGTTTTGGCCGCAACAAAGCTACGGTGAGATCCTATGGTAGACGTGCTCGGGATATTCGGGATGGTAGACGTGCTCTTGATGGTCGGCATTGAACCGAGGCATTGACTTCTCAACACAGGCTAAGTCGTTGAGCAATGATAAACATGAGCCAATGATAAACATAACTAAACATGTAGGGCAGCCCCAATTACATCGCTACATATATACACGATATAAATAAGAGTATTTTACAATTAAAGCAGTAATTGAGGTTTTCATGAGCTTGGAACAATATATATTGTTATTAGAGAAAACATTTCATGAATTCGTTATCAACATACACAATACCTGAGGTATCGGTTCGTTAATATAAATAAGCCAGATGCATTAAATTAATAAGTTACACCGCTCATCGTGCCGACTTTTTCTAGTCTCTATATATATGGATACCTCAGTGCGAGGATTTAAGAAGTTATGGATTAGTTTTGATTAGAAGGGCAGCCACTGGCGGTCGCCTTTTTTCGGCCGTTGGAAGCGACGAGATCTAAGAAAAACTCGCAACGAGGGCAGAATTTTTTGACGAGTGGTTGCACTTCAAGAAAAGTAAGCATAAATGCAAGCTTGAGCCCTTTGTGAATAAACAAGAATATCAGGAAGAGAAGTTTGGTATTTTTTGGCTTTTGAAGATGCCTAATTCAACTGATATCTTCACTGAAAGAAAATTCCATTGTCGATGTGAAGTTGGGTGTAAAAAACCGCAAACTGGGCGGCTGGGCCTGAGGTTTGCCTAAAAACATAGGGAGTGTGGTGGGCGGAGAGCTAGGTACTCTACACGCTCTACACTAGACCTCCTCCACCCTACACGCTCTACACTAGACCCTCTCCACCCTACACGCTCTACACTAGACCTCCTCCACCCTACACACGCTCTACACTAGACCTCTCCACCCTACACGCTCTACACTAGACTTCTCCACCCTACACGCTCTACACTAGACTTCACCCTACACGTCTGAGTTTCCACCTTACTCCGATTGTTCTGAGTCCAGAACAAACATGTCGAGTCATGTCCATAACGTTTGTACACAAAGTCGAACATTCCCACTACTCTAGTAATTGAAATCATGAGAACGCTCCTATCACCAGTGTATAATAACATAGTATTGAAGGAATCACGTGTCTTCGAGCTGAGGCTGAGATGGAGTTTGAACATTCCAGTGTTCAGTGCTAATTCTGTCATTCAATACCACGATGATATCTCATAGTAGAAATTAACTTGTAAAATCGACTATTCCGTACTCTCAAACCTTGCAAAATACATAGACATTAACTATACGTTCCCTTAACATATTTCAAGAAAGTTAATGAGAAAAATTTTTTGCAGCAAAATTTATTTAAGAATTTTGAAAATGTTCCAAGAAAATAGATATTTTGGGTAAATTGGTGATCTGTTATCAATATTAAAAACAATTTTTAAGCCATGCTTGAATGCTTCTAATCGAGTGAAAACGCTCATTACAAGTTTCAATGTCATATGAGACAAAAACTTGTGCTTTTGCCGGTTTTTCTAGGCACCCACTGACCACTGTGTACAAAAAGAAAAAAAAAATGCTCATATAGATATACGATTAAGGATAAAATGCCTAAAAATATTCAGACAAGTTTAAAGTCTCAGCAGTTGGGTATTGACGTCTATGAAATTATGAACTAACTTAGTAAGGACCCACCACACGTACCATCTCGCAAATGATTACAGTCTTTACAGATAATTTGTGATTAGACGAGTCGGTAGTGGCCACCGTGACACAAAAAAATAATGCAAACATTAACTGTTTAGATAAAATGTACTTACCAAAGTTCAGTGAATATAGTCGGTAATATGGATACTATCGAGTATCAGAGTATCACCGAATGTGTATCCAACCGTTACACCTCACTCGGCCACAGTTCATTCAAGACTGCCCTAGAGATAAGATTTTTTTTTGTGCCATGGTTAGACTCTTCAGAGGAGGGATTGTTAGGGATTGCTAACTGGCGAGTCCTTTATAACATATTGAGACCTCGTCACGGGACAGGGAAGTCATCTCAATATTAATTTTACGGAGTTCATCTACCGAATGATGTAAAAAATTAATTGGATACGATTGAAGCCTTGAAGAGACTACAAATTAACAATGAAGTAATCATAATCAATGAACATACCTAAGTAATCTATATTTTTAAGTGTCGGTAAGCGTAAAATTTTTTTAAAAATTATTAGCTTACAGTGAGAAGATTTCCAATAATATATATCACAAACTGTCAACGAAATATGTAAGATTCCATAATAAATCCATGAATAAACCCATCTACTTCACACAGAACTAACCAAAGACGGTGAGCTTGGGATGTTAGTACCTACTAGGTAGTAGGTACAGAAGTTAAAACTAACCGACCAAAATTCGCTCTGCAAGACTTCATCTCAGACTCAAATTAGCATTTCATTGATTAAATAGTGAGCATGCTGTCGAATATTTGGTTGAAAAAAATGAGAAGGGGTTTCTGACTCCTCTTAATTCAGCTTTTCCTTTGTAGTTCGTACAGGTGGAGTGAGAGAAAGGAAGACAAATGTGAGATGGGGATGAGAAGGAAACTGTGGAGCACTTGTTGATGGAAATTGGAATCATGGAATGTGGGGAACGGAGTCTGCGGAGAGACTAGAGAACGACTGGTGATTCTGAATGAGGGAGATGAGACCGTGAGATTAACGAAGTGGGCCGTGGGGTGTATAAAACTGTTAAAACAAGCGATGAGTGCCTGCTGCATGGCAATTGTGGGTCTGTCTGCGCCCTGCGGGACTGCGGGAGCAACTGTAGGCGGTAGGCCTGTAGCTATTTCAGTTGGTAAAGATATAGATAGCTACCAGATATTAGGAATAGGAAAACGTGTGAAGGTCAAGGGGCATGATAATTGATAAGTATGTTGCTCAATGGGTTAGTCCAGTCGTAAATGAGACTTTCGTTATTCCCTTCCTCCCCCCCCCCCCGCTGAGCCGGACCGGGCGATGCTCTTGCAAACGCATAAGTACTCACAATAATTCCCTGCCACCATGGTGTTGACCAATCTAAATAGGTTGTGACCGGGGACCCTAGCACCTACGTAGGTCAGCACTCAGCTGGAGCCATGAAATTCCAGTACCTAATGATGTATGAAAATTCCAATTCTGCAACTAGGCTATTTACTAAAGTAGGTATACTATCACAGCATAGTGGCAAACCAGAGCTTCTTTAGAATCAGTTCATTTTGAATTTCCTCATTTACTCAAGATTTAAACAAATTTCTTAAGTATGATAATGCTGGTATCCAGGATACTTTACTGGTCTACTTAGGTAATAGGACTCAAAAATGAACTTGAGGGAGAGTCTAAAAAACTCTCTGCTTTGCCACTATAATCACAGTATCACTACTATGTTGGAATGAAGAATACTAAGGCTAGCTATATTTTTACAGTTAAACATCTTGGAGTAGCCTTTTTCATTTGAAAATTGATTGTGATTTGTGAATGTGTGAATGTGATGAGTGATGACATGACTGAATCAGACTGACTCAGTCAATCTGTCATGATATTGCTGTGTAATCTGTGTTACAGACTTACAGTGTTTGTATCATTGTATGTTGAGTCACACTGTTACAGTTACACAAGTTTTAGCATGTCTAATAAAATAATTTCTTGATTCTTGGCAGTTGATTCTGAAATCAGATACTTGTTGAAAAGTTCAGTTTTTTGAATAAAATATTTATTATAGGCCTAGCCCTAATTATTTATAACAAATAATTGTTGTTTTAATAGGACTAGGAGCAATAATATTTGTAGGTATATAACTTGAATAAAGTTATTAAATTTGATTCAAAATTTCAGACTGATCACTGAAACCTCTAAAGTTTGAGTTGAATTTGAAGCCATGCACATATTAAAATTAATGAAGGATTTACTGGATCTAGAGTTATCTTCAAAGATATTTGTCCCTCAAATTTTGCCATAAAATTGGATGCCAGTTCGGGCAGTTCCAAGATGAGATAAGGCTATTCAGGGTACACTTGACTGACTCAAGACTGTTTACAAAATGAGTTTTATTCTGTTCAAAAAAACTCATGCTGCTAGTGCTACTTACTTGTTATTTTTAGGTTTGTCATTTGCTTCTTTGAATTGTTGGTCATTCATGAAAGAATGATAAGAGCAACTATGATTTGCTGGGGAGTGGGCCACAGGGCCCGACAGGGGTATATATTGCAGAGATTTTTTATGCTCAAACATTAGGATTTAGATTTAATGCTGAACTAACACATCACATTTAGTTTATATTAATGTTGGCAATTTGACATCTACATTTTTTTCAGTGATAAGGTACCTTTCATGCACATTATAAGATTTATTACTTGCTATTCCTGAAATGAATGAATTTCATTTGTCAACTCCATGGTAAGTGTTATGGTGTATATATAATATATATATTCTTTGTTTGAAAAAATTGTCTATATTGAGCCATAGCATGTTTTCCTTGATTCTACATTATTTTTTGAAAAACTTTCCCTCCATTATTTTTCTTCTCTTTTTTAGTTATATGCATCTCCCTGTCTCTTTTAGTCTTCAATATTTTGTTGGAACATGAAGCATTGAGTCTAAGTCTCTGTGAGTCCAAAGTCTCTGTGAAGTTCTGAAAACCTTGTGTCCAGCTCTCAGTGATAGTTTTTAAATATTTCTTCCAAAATTAATTTCACAGGGCTGATGGGTGGCAGTTTGATCGCAAATGTTACAGTCTTCCCAACCACTATGAGCGCTGCAGCTTATCAGATCAACTCAAGTGGCCTGCATTGCTGTTAAAAAGTACCACAAGAGAAAATGATGCATTCCAGCCTTCTTCTGCTGCTATTTCATCACAAAAGAACAATAGACAAAACATTAGTCATGAAGTCTTCCATGAAAGGTTGAGATCAGTGAAGCAGTGGTTTGAAGAATTCTCAGATGTGCAGCGCAACAGACTCCTATCAGAAATTCTAGTGAGTTTTTCAATGAGTTTAGAAGGTTATACATTTTGGAAATGTATATTATTGTCATCAAACTCAAACTTGGCAAATAAATTGTTGCTAAATTAAATTTATCTGTGATAAAATGATTTCAGGTTATAAAGTGTGCTCAAATGTGCTCCTTTGAACACAAGGAAACTTAAATGGTATTAAAAGCAAATATATTCATATTGAATGAAATTTTCATATGTAATAGGTAATAATTCTTCCCATACCATTTCATGTGCAATAATTCTGTCCGTTTCTCAACAGCCAAACTGCAATGGCCGTCAGTTACACCTCCTCTCAACATGGTTGTGTGGTGATGGCTATGTGACAGTTGAAAGTGCTGACACTTGTACACCTGCTGGCAATGATCAGCCAGAAAGTGGAGGCAGTGATAGTTCAACAGATGGCCACAGTGACACTGACAGCCTGAATGTGGGTAGCAATAATGATGAAATGGCTTCTCGCAGTCATGGTCCTCCAGGGTCATGCCGTCTCCATCTTGGGTGTCCCCCCAATTGCCAAGATCCTCTTTCTGTCCTGCCAGTGCATATTTCTTTCTCCATTCTCTCCTACCTAGACCCGCAGATGCTGGCCAGAGCTGCAGAAGTTAGCAGGTAGCTCTGAAGATAGTTGTGTTGAAATTTTAGATGTACATTTAAAAAGCTCAATGAAATGGTATAATAACTAGAGATGCAATAAAAGATAGTAGCTTGAAACAATGATATAGTGTAAATAGGGAGTGCTGGGAGACTTATTGATACATAAAATTGAGTTGCTTGTAATGATTAAAAAAATGTGTAAAGTAACTTACATTTTAGTAACTGAGTTTTCAGTTAATACTCTGTATTTGCTGCATCACTTCTATGTTTTCTCTTGTGCTTTTGTCCCCTATATCTAATAAGAAGCTACTGTAACTGTAACTGGTATAAGAGTTGGGAAAAATGTCAAATACCATTGAAATTTATCTACTAAATTCACTGGAATTAATTTATTTTTGAAGATGTCCTGGAACGCTTCTCTTGCAAGTAAAGCATCAAATTTTGCAATTACTACCTAGATACAAGTATAGCTTTATTTCATGTCATCAGGCATGTGGGATTTTATTTAATAACAAATGTGTTGGTCAGAGTGTGGCGATGGATGTGCAATAGTCCTGTATTGTGGCACCGCCTTGCCCTGCTGCCCAACTGGCGGTTGTCTCCTCTAGACCACAGCAAGCAGCTCGCCAAGCACACCAGTGACGCCGTCATCAACTGGAAGGAGGTAGGTTTCATGAAGTCTCATGTTTTGGGTTAATGAAAGAGTACCTATGTAGTTAAATGTTGACATGAAACAAACTTATACTTCATAGCAACACACAATTCAAAATCACATCTAAGATGATATCACTGAACAAATGTGTTTGTAAACAACAATGCGTTTGGAAGTTCACTGAAATTCTTTTTGTTGCTTGCTGCCTTCAGTCAACGATGTTGAAAGTTCCAGCTGATTCGAAGCTAATGATAATATTTTGACTTCTACAAGAAATCACTGCAATATCTTGCAAATCAAATATGAAAACTATTTGATATCAAGTTTCTGAATGGAGACACATAGTATGCAATGATCAGACTTGCTGTTCAAATCTTTGACAGTTCATACGAAGAAGAAACAATACCCTGAATTCGTCATCATAAAGATTAGCTAAGCAGATACGTTGGTACAGCAGCAAGCAAAGCCTGCTTCCATCGACTTGCTGTGTGTTTTTGAAAAAATTACAGTTTCTGTTGAAACGTTTTTCTTGTGCTTTCTAAATATACCACCAATTTCCACCTGACCGCGGATAGAGTTTTAAATTTATTTTCATAAGATACATTTTAAGTACCATCTGTTTTGAGTATTCTGGCCTTATCAGTAATGAAAAACTTTTTCCAGATTTTGAGTGTGGCAGTTCCTTGCAACTAATGGGCCATATTTTACTGTAGTTGACATTTTGAAAAAAATTTTAGTGGAAGTTTTACAAAACAAATATGATGTATTTTCATTGCAAAAATAACCTTATTGGCTGAATAAAATTCAATTGGATGATATCAATTTGCCAGCTTAGTTCCAGTAAACAGGATTATTGTATTTAATGCTAATGATTGCAGTGCTGAATTGGCTGTAGCAGATATCATTCAAGTAGGTATCTCGTAATGACACCAAATTTTACTGTCCTCCTGCCACTCGCACAACACTACTCACACTGAATGCTTCAAAGAAAGCATTTTAACGTTATCATAACGACATTAATTTACTTTCTTGACTTTTAAAAATAATACAATGTGTCACATAAACATTTACAAACATTTTAAGAAGAAACATTACTCTGATTTCATCATCATGAAGAATAGCAAAGCAGATACGTTGGTAGAAAAATCTTTTTATCTTTAGGTTGCTAACGTTGCTTCAATCGCAAATTGACAACAACTTTAAAAAGCTAAGAAAATGAACGTGCAAGGGTTCAATAAAAAATATGGTGGCTTTTTTGGCATAGGCGTTTATATTAAAGTACCATATATAGTGTAAGTGGATATGAATTTTCACAAATAGTTAGATATGGTACTTTTGTAGGAAGCCCGTTTTAATGACCCTGCAAGGAAGTAGGATTTCCCTACTAGCGTTCCTGTAAATCCCCATCTCCTGAGATGTAAAGAAATGTGTAGTAAAAGTATAAAGTTAAAGCTAGAGTATACTTTTCTGTGTAAACATTGTAAGTATACTGCATAAAAATTACTCAATGACTTGATTATATTGAATTAATTGTATGTCTGCCATAAGAATGGATTCAGCGCATTCCTTAGGTTCATCATGTTGAATGTTTTTTTTTTAGTTTTAGACTGTGTAATGGCTGGCAAACTTATAAGTAGTAATTCGAGGTTGAGTTCTCGTCGTGCCTCGGTTTTGGTCTCTTTAGTTTTTCCTGTCACTATTTATACTTTTTTCTTTCTTGTGTTGCTTCTGGATAAATTATGAAATAAGTACAAACCAAATCTTAAATAAAAAAGTGGATTGAGATGGTTGTAGGAAAGGTTGAGACCATCACTAAATCTTTTGTTTTCCCGAACCATTTGCAAGAAACACCCTCACGCACACTATGTGGCTGATAACGCTACGGAATTAGTGTCCTGTAACAATATTTACGCATAATATAGGGCATGCCATCAATAGTGTTACAAATATTTTAAAGTTGATAGGTACTGTATTCCTGTGTCTACTTTGGTTCATATGCATACAATATAATTTATTACAGTTGTGAGTGGTTATTTTTAATGAATGCGTTACTATGTAACGAACTGAACGGTAAGATGGTAATTTTAATCATTGATTAATTAAGAAGCTTGATTTATTGAAGTTCCTTCAGAGGAACTTGGCAAAATCCCTTATTAACTATGATGGACGTGTTGCAGGTGGTGGTGGAGAGATGGCGCGTGCGGCGCAACTGGTTGGGCGCTCACTGCCACGTCAGGACTTTTGCTGGCCATTCAGAGGGCGTTACATGCGTCCAGTTTGACAACAACAGAATTGTGTCCGCCTCCCATGATAATACAATCAAGGTTATTTTATTGTTCAGTTCAACCTTTTTCCTTTATAAATCGCAAGTTTTGACACTATGCGTCTTATTTTGAGGTTACTAGAGTTGCAGACCGGAAGACTACCAAATTTGAGTAAACTATAAATAATTATTTTGCATAGTTTTCGTCACATGAGTGTTTATTAAAATGAAACTTGTTTTTCATAGCATTCTCATATTAAATTAATTTCCCTACCAATGAACAATGTACTTCTCAACAGAATACGCGTGGATTTAGAAGCTTCCACTGTAGCATAAGAAATGACAAGGAATATGTGGTTGTTCTGCATGCATTTGAATGGAGGCAGAAGCCGCCACTTTTGTAGACTAAGTGACAAGGAATATGTACATGTACACGTGTGTACATTTGGATGCATTCAGAAGCCTGTGTGTGTGCAGGTTTGGAGCATGCGCACCAACAGCCAGTGGCCAGTACAGACACTGGTTGGGCACTCAGGCCGAGTTCGCTGCTTGCATCTGAGTAACAACAGACTCGTGTCAGGGGCAGCTGATGCCACCATAAAGGTCGTTCGTCTAATCTTTGTTCTTTGTATGGTTGAATCTGCCTAATTTATAAATCTGTTTCATTCAATGAATACCTAGTTCACTGTGTAATAGTCATGTCAGTTTTAGTAGGCATTAAGTTTCCCCGGAAATAGGTCTTGGTTGAATCCTTAGTCCTGAGGATCTTGGTTGAATGTATGTCTGCAAACCCAATCCTGTGTAAATATTCTTACACTTGAGTGTAAGAATATATATTTTTACACTCAAAATTATGGTGATGATTTAGATGAAGCTCTTCACGCAATGCTTTACTCGTATTCATATTCCGAGTTAAGCTTGAGCAATGCAATGGCACATCAAATTGATTGTGCAGAATTTGTTCAGTCAAATGGCACGTCAAATTGTGAAATGCACGAAACCAACTGTCTATTGCAGGTGTGGGAGGTGGTGGAGACGAGTGAGTGGTCCTCCATCGTGTGCCGCGTCACCATGACTGGCCACACCAACACCGTCCGATGCCTTCAGGTAGCTCAGTCAGGCTGACAAATGCAGCATGGATTTTCTTGTGATGGATTTCTAGTCATGAAATTTGTGACAGGAATTCAGTTTTGAAAATTTTCCATTATAAATTATGAATAAATTCCAATTAACCCGATGCTTGGTAATTCACTATTTTCTAGTTTACATTAAACTTTTTAGGTGTAGCAAATGATGGATTATTACCCTAGAAATCGAAGTGAAACAAAAACATCGGCAAAGCAATGAATTGATGCTGAAACGCTGTATCATTATTATTGTTATTATTATTATTTATCAGGTGTGTGGTGACGACACGGTAGTGAGCGGATCATACGACCACAGCGTGCGAGTGTGGAGCCTTCCCTCAGGCGTGTGCCGGCAGACGCTCTTAGGCCACACGGGCGCCGTGCTGTCGCTGGCTGTTGTCGTGCCTCTCAAGCTCATCGTGTCCGGTGGTGGTGACAACGCAATTAAGGTCAATCTAATTCAATAATTTACTTAGAAACTATTGTTTTTACTCCGTAATATCTGATGTTAATTCTTACCTTCTGACATTAATCTCACGTGTGCAATTTTCAAGAATCTTGGATTGCAAGCTTAATTTGCATGATTAAATTGACATATTGTTGCATAGAATATTGTCACTTAATGTGCACTGGTTATGGCGCCCTAATGCAATTAGAATTAACATGACCGTGCTGCAGATGTGGGGGCTGGAGTCTGGCGAGTGTCTACGGACTTTACACGGCCACACGGACGCCGTGACGTCGGTGTGTGCAGACACCCATGGCATCGTGTCAGGGTCTCTGGACTCTACCATCCGCTCATGGGACGTCCTCACGGGCAAGTGTCTCTGTACCGTCAACTGGATCAGCAGCGAGGGACACACTGGTGAGCACAGCAGTAGTGACATGAGACATAATATATATTAGTCAGAAGACTGATTATTTATTGACAGATTATTCTTTTGATCTCATTGTGACACACTGATGAGCGCAATAGCAGCAGCGTTTTAGTTACTAACGTGACAGACCTAATATATATTAGTCAGAAGACTGATTATTTATTGCCAGAATATTTCGTGATGTACCTGGGACATACTGGTGAGTATAGTGACAGAATTATTAATCATCAGCCTGGCACCTGATTAATATTGCCCTAAAGACAACAGATAAAACGGATATTTTTTTAAACAAGTGTTTGTTTCGATAACATTGTTATCGAAAACAAGTGTTTGTTTTTAAAAGATTATGTCTGGATTTTCAGGCAGGTGTACTCAACAGCAAGCACTAGCTAATATTTAGGGAAAATGGATAATAATACAAGGTAGATACATGTATGTGATCGGTCAAATTTTGCTCTGTATTAAATGTAGCTCTTGTTGCGTGCTGCTTTGGCGTAAAATGAACGACTATTTATTTCAACTAATAATGCCCAGTCCTAGCAGCCAGTCAAATGTAGGCGAGCTCCTTTGAAAACCATGTTATCGAAAAATGAAAACCATGTTATTGACCTCACACTGCGGCGTGCAGCTCATAATAAGTATAAGTTCTGCATTTGTGTTCAATATACCTATTTCTCAATAAAGCAATTCGCATCTCCTTTTCCTCGTTGCAGGAGTGGTACGCTGTGTTGCTGCCGACGAGTGGCGCGTTGTGAGCGCCTCAGATGATAAGACAATTAAGGTATGTGGCGCCATTGTTGCCGGTGAAGTTCAGCTCTGAGCTTACAGACGTGCATTAGTCCTGCGTAATTCGATTTTCTTGCAAGTTGCCTTCCTTTCTGTCATTTTGTTATGAGCTTGGCGATGTGATAATTACCACGTTTTTCTTGACTTCGTTTCGTGTCTGTCTGTCATCAAAAATTCAAACCTTAATTTAGAGCACTTCTAAACATCCTAGTAAGTTGAAATTTGGCATGCATGTTTATGCTGCCTAACAATTCAAGATTTGATCATCAGAAATAACATTTAAAAAAAAAATTTTTTTAAAGTAAAGAAAAAAAAAACACTAAAAATTCACGGTTTGGAATTGAGTTTTTTCTCGAACATCCACACTTGCCAATCCTGGAAATTGATTTGAATTGCTAAAATTGCTAACTAAAAAGTAGAAAATAAATAAATATAAAGAAATATTTTTAAAAATCTCGTTTTTCTGGTTTTTACAAAACTAAAAATAGTGAAATAAAACAAAACAAAAAAAAAACTTTTAAAAACCACGTTTTCTTAACGGACAAAAAAGAAAAACATTTACTCTTACATAACATTATATAACATTTTACATAACTTAAATGTTATGTAAGAGTAAATGTTTTTCTTTTTTGTCCGTTAAGAAAACGTGTTTTTTTTTAAGTTTTTTTTATTTGTTTTTCATATTATTGATCAGGTATTGACGTCTTGTTAAATTTCGAAATGTTACAAGATATCATCTTGATCGCTATTCCTGTGTCCCAACCACAAGTGCGCTCACAATCTCCGTTCTGTTCAGGTGTGGGAACGTCACTCTCTGAAGCGGCTGGTGACGCTCAGGAACCACACAGACGGCGTCACCTGCGTCGCCTTCAATGAGTTCTTCATCGTCAGCGGCTCTTATGACAAGACAGTCAAGCTCTGGGATTTTTCCGCCTGCTAAGAATCTGGGACTTCTATATTCCTGCTGAGAACGTGGGACTTATTTGCCTGCTGAGTACCTGAGATCTTCTTGTCTGCTGAGTACCTGGGACCTCTATTCCTGCTGAGAATTGGAAATCCATAAGTGAAATGACTCCTAATTCCAATTGATTTAGTTATCATTTGTTGTTTTTTACGCACCTGCTTTATTTTTAGTTTTAGGTTTTATTTTATTGCTTTTTTAATTCATAATTAATGATCTGACGAATTTTTTTATGCATAACGTAATGAAATATGTGCTTTTGACCGCGTTTTAAGCAAATTAGAATTTATTTTGTATGCGTTGATGTAAGTTCTTAGTTGTAGTTCTGTGTTCTATTCATACATGTTGATGCAGCTCTCATCGAACTATCATTGTGCAGCTTGTGTTTAATGTTCCGAAACTGTGCAGCTTCCTCGCTCCTAGTCCTAGTATCCTTCTCTTCTGTAATCTAGGTTCTTTGCTTGGCGAACTATTTGTATCTATATTAGCAATATTTTTGTCTCTACGATGGTCTCTATGAAAACGCGCCCTGGTCTCTCAAATCTCATTTCTTGAATGAGAACTTGACAACTAAAGATTTACCAATTATTTTTCACACCTCGAAGACGTCCTGTCTCGTGTACTGTGGGTGAGAACGCTGTTGTTGCCTTATCACTTGCTGCAAATGTATACGTACTGTGTTCCTACTTGTGCTAACTGCGGTAATGAATTACTTTTACCAGTTTTATGCATTACCAAGATGGTAATTTCTTCACTGCATTAGCAGGATCTTGTTCTGGAGGATGTGTCGGTAAAGGTTGCGCACAGATTATCTTATTGCCATTGAGGGTTAATTCCCAGAAAAATACGTTATCCGAGTAGAGGAATCTGATGCCAACGGCAATGTACCTGAACTAGAAGTATCTTCAGGAGCTGTGGGCCTGAAATCCGTGAATTAGCATTTCTAAGCCATGAATTAGCATTTCTTATTTGCACCGCGATTATTGGTCGTTTTTTTTTCACTGATATTAGACGCGCTGCCTGAGTAGTGGGTTCTTCATTGCCGCGTTGAGTAACACTTGATTGGTAATATATTCCTAGGTGCAAATTTCATTCATTCATTTACGAACAGGAAAACAATTCCGACTAAAAATTAACAAATTTGCTGATGAATTGTAACTCGATTAATTAAAACTTTTACTTGTGGAATGATAGCGTTTGCGGGATGTTAGCCTTTTCATTACATCAATGATGCATGACTGTAGTTGCATTCCTTCCTTTGGAGATCCAGACTCCCTTGATTTCATGAAGATTGAATTGGTTTTCGCTCATGATTCCATAACTTTACTTTCAACTACATTTGTGTGCCTTGTTCCTGTCAAGTTAGATGTTGTGTATAAAGCTAGTGCCCTTTTTTGTCAGCCAACGAAAACAAATCGAATAGCTTTTTATATTTATTCTACTACAACTTGTTATTTTATGTCATGTAGTCGAATTTTTGTGGCGTCCAGGCAATATTCTTGCAACACTTTGAATGTTCGACATGGAAGTTACGGGCTGTACTATCAGAACTCACTTCAGTACATGTAGCTGCAGATTACTCATCTGTGATTGGTGGGTTTTGTTTTAAAGCCGTCAGTGATTGGCTGAAAGAGTTACGAACTCGTAAATATTATTGATAGTACTGCCCCCGGTAAAGTATCGTCCGTGCCTACTAGTCATATTACGCCTGCTCTAGGCTCGTGCGTATTCTGAGATCTGCGGTGTTCCGTCTTGATGATTAAGTACTTCAGTTTGGATCTTTGTGCATATTTCATGGTTATTGTAAACATAGGACGAAGGACTGATGTCTTCAATCTTCTGATAAGAGTTTGTTCTGGCATGCTAGCCATCTGAAATTTGTGTCATGTCCGATCATAGTGGATTGCTAGCTTAGTCTTCTCTTCTTTGTTAGTCAGCTAGCTGGTGGATATAAATTAGTGTCAATGGGTCATGGCAGCAGTTGTGCTCATATGTTTACCAAGCAGACTTCGTTCGTTTTTAGTCCACCGAGTCACTTGGACCTTGACGCAGATGTTGAGTTGACAGTTAACGTGTCGCGTTAACGAGAGTTCTTCATTGAGCGGAAGCAATTGTCATCCTACTGAGGGCCAGAAACTTGAGAAGAGAGCGCCAGTTAGCAGCTGGTACAAGACCATGGAGATGTAGTTCTCACCGTCGGGGGAGCATGTCTGCCTGAAAGGAGTAGCTAAGCTCCCGTACCTCATATGGCATGGTTACTTACCCGTGTGTTGGGATATGTATGGAACATAGCCTTTACAATAGTTAATAAAACTTGTTCTTAAGTAAATATTGTCAATTGTGTATATTATTATTAGGCCGACACAAATGACACTTTGACACTACTCCTCCAGTCGAACTGCCTTGTTTGTTATAATTATTCTTGTTTAGAGATGTCAAAGGCGTTTCTTTTGACATAGTTCGGAAATTTCTTTCGTTGAACCTTTCATTGCATATTTTAGTGACGGGAATGTATAAAAACAAATTATTTTTGTAGTCATAACCTTACACCCAAAATATGTATTATTTATTACTAGATGTTCTACAGTTAATCGTTTCAATCAACTTTTTTTTTATTTTAATCACTTGAAGGATATTTTTCTGCAGATTCCTTAGTCTTTTTTGCAACGGCCGTCGTGTAAAATACTTAATATCAGACAGCTGGCACTATTATCTTCTTGACTAAGTCATTTGATATCTAATAACGAAATAGGAACAATTACCTCAATGGTTGGCTGTCACCGTACCTATATTTAGGCTCAATGCTTCGTTTTTTCCAACATGATTGGTTTGTCAAAAAACACCCAGCGAGTGAGACTTGGTCGCAGAGCTTTAATGCCTAGTTAGTTGCAGTATATTTTAGTTCGCTGAGGAGCTGTCGGAAATGTTACCAGTGGTTGAAGCTTTTTTTGTGAGCATATTTCTCGTTTGCTTAAGATTAATCAAGTTAATCGCTGTTTGAAATGTGAGACGTAAATCCTACCATTGAGATGCAATCTTAACTTGATTTTGCTCATGCATGAATGACGATCTGCGGCTGATACTTGGTAAAATTTATTTTGTATTCATGAAGTTTCTGTTTAGCTGGTTGTCTGATAATTTTATTCTAATAAGTATTATTTGTTGATCTGACACCACAATCTGAGATTAGAACGGGGGAAAAATAATTGATTTCATTTACATTTTTTAATACCACCGCAGCAATAAACAATATCTATACACGAGTCGAGATAATTCTTATTCAACTGTCTTGGAATGATTAAAGTACTCCAATAAAATAGTTCACGCAGACTTGACGCAAACTGAAGCCTTTAAAACACCGATGTTTCGACACAATTCTTACTAAAAAGTTCATGATCGATTGCAAACAAATAATGTATAATCCACGCTCTCTTCACACTAAAGATAAGTTACAAATAAATAGAATACAAACATTTTCAGTTTCATATTATGTTCTATCTACACAAAAAGATGGCGGTACCCACTATTAATGTACATCAACATCACGAACACCACAAAATCCAGGTAAACTTATGAACTTGGGTAGCAAACGTAAACCATAACGGACATAGAACATCCCTTCATCTTAAACATCCTACTGAGGTCGGTCACGAGGGTAGAATTCGGCCAGTGTACTGGCAGGAATGCGCTTGAGCATTTCCTTGGGGAAGATACGCAGCAACTGCCATCCAATATCCAGTGACTCGAAGACGCTCCTCTTGCTGTACGAGCTCTGCGTCAGGAAGTTCTTCTCGAACTTGGCCAGGAATTCCAAGTAAAGAAGATCGTCAGAAGTCAAGGCCTCCTCACCGACCACTGCCTTCATGGCTTGCAGATCCTTGCCGATGGCGTAGCACGCATAGAGTTGGTTGGACACGTCGCTGTGGTCGCGGCGAGTCATGCCCTCTCCGATGGCAGACTTCATGAGACGAGACAGCGAAGGCAGCACGTTGATGGGTGGGTAGATCTGACGGTTGTGCAACTGACGGTCTACGTAGATCTGGCCCTCAGTGATGTAGCCCGTCAGATCAGGAATGGGATGCGTGATGTCTGCAACAGGTTATATTCGTCACTATAGACATTAGAGATAAATAAAGTTTGTTTTGCCACTCGGTGTAAATTGGAGATAAAATGATTCAATGTTGTTATAGACTTGATATAATCGTTTTAGGAAGCTCTCACCAGTATCGCAATAGGTATTACTTTGATTGTTCATTCCATTATAAGAACAACATTATGCAAAGAGATGTGATGTTGTTGCGGGAAAATCCATCGAGAACTAATTAGTGCTTGAATTAATAAATTAATAAAGGACAATTAATATTGAATGAAATAAACCAAGTGATAAGCTTGTCCAATATTGGATGACTGCCAACTTACCATCGTTGGGCATAGTGAGGATAGGGATTTGTGTGATCGATCCCTGCCTGCCCTCCACACGTCCTGCGCGCTCGTAGATAGTCGCCAAATCGGTGTACATGTAACCGGGGAAACCGCGACGGCCGGGCACCTCCTCTCGAGCAGCCGACACCTGCAGGGTAAAGTGGAAGCTTTGATCTTGCGGCACCTCTAAACTCGGAGATAAGTTGTCACCATATCTAGATAGCTTTGAATTAGTAGCGTGAATGATATTGTAATAACACTGGCATGAACACTGCAATACAGGTAACAATAATTTTGGATAAGGTCCAATCGTAGACTCAAGTTTTAACGTAAAATTTGTCTTTCATATGCAATCTTGTAAATACGGTGAAGTTGTTAGCAACATTCCACACATTAGCCCAGATTTAATAGAGGTCTTGAGTTGCGTACCTCACGCAGCGCTTCAGCGTATGAGCTCATGTCAGTGAGGATGATAAGCACGTGCTTCTCGCACTGGTAGGCCAGATACTCGGCCGTGGTGAGCGCCAGACGCGGCGTGATGATACGCTCGATGGTCGGATCGTTGGCCAGGTTCAGGAAGAGACACACGTTCTCCATTGAACCGTTCTCTTCGAAGTCCTGCAGGGTGAGACATGCAGCAGATATTAGTAGATGTGCAACAGATATTAATAGGTAAAGTAGTTCAAACTACAGGCGTAAAACGGCTCATTCAAATACAGTACGAATGATTAATTGCATAGGTAATTACTACAATAATAATCTTTAAAATACCCAGATAGAACCAAGTCTGTTTGTTAATTCAACTTACGGCATTATATAGTAAATATAGTATTAGATAATACAATATGCAAAGAATAGCATAAATGTAAGTTTCATTTTGAATTAACGATAAAATTTAATATTTTGAGATTTAAATAACCCATTACTATTCTTCACTTGTGAGGAGTAATTTTACCTATCAATGAAGGTTTTAAGCTAGTTGGTAACTGATAAAAAATTAGGAATGCAGCCTAGTTAAATAATAAAACCATTGAAAAATTGCAACCATCTGGCGATGGTTACATCAAAAAAAACTCTTTCCAAAATCTCAAAAGACTTTTGAGAGGATGCATTGGCAGATGTGTTTTGTACAAGAAATTTAGATTGTCAGACCTGTTTGAAGAATCGGGCGGCCTCCATGTTGACACCCATAGCGGCAAAGACGATGGCGAAGTTATCGTGGTGGTCATCAATGACGCTACCTTTGGTGGCTTGAGCTGCGTTCACGAGACCGGCCTGACGACAGATCTGAGCAGCAATCTCGTTGTGAGGCAGACCAGCAGCAGAGAAGATTGGGATCTTTTGACCTCTGAAAAAAAAAATAAAATTAACCACTTTTCTCATTTGAAAAAAAAAATCTGAAATTGTGAGGTTTATGATAATGGCAGTGTATCTAACTTTTGAGAAAATTAATGAAATCATAAACTTTTTCATAAGAAAAATACAGAATTTTAAGCGAATTGATTCTAAGAAAAATGATAACAAAAGATTGCTCAGGATAGTATAATGAAGAATCTGTGAAATTTAAAGTGTCTGTTTTAACTAAAATTTGTCATTGGTCCCTATTAGTTTCCATGGGTAACTATTTCAGGTATTAAAATGAAATAGGTGATTAAGAAACATTTTCAAAGCAGAAGCAACTTGAAAAAAGGGATTTGAGGTATGTATAAAACCTTTTCTTGAACCCATAAGAACAGAACTGATGAGAGCTGAAAAATACCTGGCAATGGAGTTCATGACATCAATGGAGGAAATTCCGGTCTGGATCATCTCCTGAGGATAGGTACGGGACCACGGATTGATGGGCTGACCTTTGAAGGAAATGAACATTCAAACTGCTATTCATGGCACTTTTATATTTCTTCATAGCATTAATGTGTGCTGGTTAAAAAAATTTGCTGAATAACATGAGATAACAGCATTGGTATTGGTGTATGCAGTCAGGGAAAATCCAATTGTTCAGAAACAAATGTAGGTAGTTCCTAATTTTCTTTGTTCAGTGACAAGGAAAATCCAAGTAGTAGTTCAGAAACAAATGATAATAATTTACTGAGTAGCAAATTCTGAGATTTTTATAGTCAAATATGTATTGATAATACAATAAGGACCAGAAAAAATTACATTCAACTAAAAGCAAACTAACCCTGGATATCTAGAAAATCTTCAGCCAGTACAGCAGGTCCATTGTCAATGGGCTTGCCAGAGCCATTGAAAACTCGACCCAACATATCTTCTGAGACAGCAGTCCTCATGATATCTCCAGTGAACTCACACACAGTGTGCTTGGCATCAATTCCAGAGGTTCCCTCAAACACCTACAAGAAAAACACACATCAGTAAATGAAAACTTTTTACTGAAATAAGACATTTCAATCCAGTAGAATTTTATGATTACCAGTACTCATTGATTGATTTGTAGAAATAAGCTTGTTAAATTGCCACAACGATGATAACAAAATATATAATTAGAAAAAAGCTAATCAATATTAATTAATTACTTTACAATAAATAATCCTTTTCATTTCAAACATAAAAGTTAAGCATCATGAGTCACCTGTACAACAGCTTTGGATCCGCTGACTTCCAAGACTTGTCCTTTGCGCTCTGATCCATCAGCAAGATGCAGGTTCACAATCTCAGCAAACTTAGGGAATTTGACATCATCAAGAATAACAAGAGGGCCATTGACACCAGTGACAGTTTTATAGCACAGGTGAGGCTGTGCAATATAGTCTCTGGTCACAGCAGCAACCTGATCAAAGTGTCCCTGTGAAGGCATTTTGAACTGCCAAAAGAATTTGATTAATAACATTTGAATTACAAGAGACTATCAAAATTATTGTACTAACTTTTTATAAAAACTGAAGAACCGGTATTCTTTTTATAAAATACTAGCCTTGTAACTTGTAATACAGGATATTTTTTCTTTATTCTTATGTATACCAATAAAAAACTATTTCAACTGATTAAAATGTTCTCC